AAGCTATACTTACAAGGGATTTAGAAGACAGAATGCATAACGGAAAATAGAAGAGCAGTTTTATGATTTTATTCAGAATGATAGGCTTCTTATGGTGTCCTTTTATTTCAGAAGTGTAACTATTAAATATAAACTGCAATCGAGTTTTCCTCATCTCCAATAATCTGTAAACCCATTACTGGGAAAGATAATTTCCTGGGTCATTCTGGAATTACTGAATTATTTATTCCCCTTTAGCACAGCTTTTCTTGTTGTATAGTAAAAAAAATTTGTCTGTGAATCTTTACCTGCAGCTATAAAGGCCAGAGTAAAATGTTCTGAAATCTTACTGTCATCATGAAAACCAAAGCTGAATGGTTTGATGAGCTCAGTTTTTGATCATAGTCAGTTTGTTTATGTAGTGGTACAGAAAGATCCACTCTTTACATGCTAGGCATAAAGTGACAGAATTCATCTTGCCTGCATCCAACTAAATTAATTAATTGTGTAGCTCTCTTGGTATCTGGTAAAGTAGACATATATATCTCCAAATGTCAATTAATCTTTTCATAAACAGAGAAGCAAAGAGATGCACAAAAATTGTTATTTAGAGCCCTCTCATTCCAGTAGCACAGAATTCAAGTCAAATCATTTATCTCTCAAAAATGTGCATTTCTTCCACACTAAAGGGCATGCAGAGTGGGTGCAGTGCTTTTAGGCCTAACAGGGGAGTTAGAATGAGATGATCTTTAATTTCTCTTCCAATGAAAACATTCAGTGATTCAAGGATTCTAGGTTGTCTACACATATAGGCAGTAGCCTAAACAGCAAGTGCATTGTGTTTAATTACCCCTTTGAATTAATTTCAGTCAAGCCTTAATTTTTTGTAATACTCATAACATGATATACCCAAAGGAAGCATCTAATTTAATCTTTCTTAATTTTATTCCAACAGTAAAATGAAGAAGTAAAATACATAAAAAGCAAATTACATCTGTAGGGGAAGCAGCTTTTTCATAGATACCCCTTCATTATTGTCTTCACCACAACTCTCTTGAGTGCCATTGTCCCAAAAAAATGTGTAGCAGGCAAAATCTTTTTCACTCACCTTGGTACTTATGATCTTACTCCATGAGAAAGAAACAAATAAATAGAAAATTAGTTCTATAATGATACAATTATATTTTCTTCAGTAAAGTTCTTCTCCCTCTGTTTTTGTAGAATTCTTTTCTATGTATCACTTGTTCTGTTTAGGAGTTGAATTTTTGCATTCCTTTGCTGCCCTTCATAGGTTCCTAGGATGGCTTGTTCTGTTTAGGAGTTGAATTTTTGCGTGTATTCCTTTGCTGCCCTTCATAGGTTCCTAGGATGACCTGGATTGCAAGTGCCTTGCAGAGGTCTCTAGTTCAATATCAGGTCTAAGATCAGGCCAGGTTGCTCAGGGCCATATCCAGGGTGGTGTTTAAAACCTCCAAAGAGGCACATTTACAACCTCACTGGGCAGCCTGTGCCACTCAGTTTTGTTGCTAATTAGTATAGTCCTCTGCTATATACTGTAAATTATTATTTAAATGATTTTTTTTTTCTCCCCAAGGTTAGTCTCAGTGAGGAAAAAACAGAGAATTAGTTTTGAACTCCTTTGCTAAAGTTAGGACTTTTATATTTCAGAACAATTTCAAGACAGTGCCTGGATGGGCTGGCAGGGCAGGCTTGTGCACATCTCTAGTTCTTCTCTATTCTAGGGGTTGAAGTTTTCTAGAAGAGCTTTACTTTGAATAGCTGCATTGCAAATCAGAAAACATGACAGCTCCTATTTGTTTATCTTATTTTTCCATTAATTTTACTGCTTTGGAAATTATGTTTCTTTATGAAGAGAATAAACAGATCTGCCTTGAGCCAAGGTTGCCCTTTCCCTAGGAAATGGGCTGGGGAGCACAAATGTCCATCCCTAGTGAGGGTGGTGGAGAGGAAATGTCATGGCAAAACCACCCAGGAACTGCAGTTTACACAGAATCCAAGAGGCTGCAGAGAGGCAGAGAGAAGCAATAACCAGGCCTCAGTGGTGGAGGAAAACAACTTCTGGGGATCAAAGACTACTTGGCATTTTGCTTCAACTCAGAAACCCACTTGGTTGAAATCAAGCTTAAAGGACAGGCAAAGGGAGAGGTGCTTATACCCATTGTGCCTGATCTAGTTGCCTAAAGTGGTCTTAGTCATAAATTCCCTATTAAAAGTAACTAAATGTTTGGGGGTTTTTTTGTTGTTGCTTTGTTTTTCTTTTTCTTCTTTTTTTTTTTTTTTTAATTCAATAGCCTATTGTCTTATTTGGAGAGATGTCTATAAGGAGAACATATAGAAAAGTACATCTCAGTCCTTTGGCTGACTCTGGGTCCTGTCACAGAAAATTTAGCAGAGTGGTTTTTTGGGGGGATTTTTTTGGGTTTTTTTGAGGTTTTTTGGGTTTTTTTTGTTAAATTTGGCTTGTTTAATTTGACTTGCTGACTCATTTTTCCAGCTGGTCTGTCATCCTACTCAATTCCAGATGAGGCAATAGGAAAAAGAATACTCTTTTGAATATCCCACCCTCTTGCCAAACCAAGTAACAATTAAAATCTCCAATTTTCATTGCAGTTCTTTATCTCTGTTAATTATCCAAGGAACAGTAAATCAGATATATTGTCTCCTGCTTGTTGTCAATAATTTAAATTCTAAATTCTTTATAGATTTGTTGCAGATTTAACACACTGCTGTTTTTCCCTAAATTACACAGCATTTCGCAATTTGAATCCAATTCAGTGTTTCATTTTTACATTTGAGATCAAATGCTAGACAGTCCAGTCTAATTGACTCATATGTTTTCTGCACACACAAGAGAACCCACATGACTTGGTGGCTTTTAATCCAAAAGAAACATCAGGTCTCTCAAGTATCTAATTAGTGACCATCAGTGGGGTTTTTCCATAGTTTTTGAGAAGAATCTATTCTGAATCAAGTGTTTAGTGGACAATGAACTGGGAGCAGTGTGAATTCAAAAAGAACAGGAATATAGTAGGCAGGGACCTTGTGAGCTGAGAGGTGCCAGTATAAAATAACATGGTGATAATCAAATAAGAAAAAAATAGATGCTAATTAAGTAGAAGATCTATTAGATTAATTAAGCTGTCATTTTTTAAAAGATGTCAAGAATAAAAGGGGGATGGGAAATGTGGTACATTATTAATAAATGAGATGTAAGCGTGCCATGTAAAGTCATTTTTACATTATAAATTCTGATATTTTCAGGGTAATAGAAGGTATTTTTCATCTGTCTTTATCTATATGAACTATGAGGAAAAAAATTACCATCATGCAGGCATAGCAGGCATAGTCATTCCTATCCCTATCTGTGTAGCCAGAAATGTAATTGGCTTGATTTATTAGTGGGGAATGACCCAATATGGAGTAGTCTTAAACTATAAAACAAGCACTTAAATCAGTTGCTTTAATTCTCCTTTTAACTGCAGAAACAAAGGGATTGTATGGATAAAGGAAATCAGAACATATTGTTAATTAAAAATGGCATCCAGCACAAAGATTTGTTTGCCCTTCTTGTATACAGGGGTCAACACTAATAAAGTTTCACCATTTGCTACCTGCTGATGGATGATGTGAATCCATTCCTACAGCTCTTCGTTAATACTTGTGCTCTGATTATGTCACACTCTCTTTTTTTTTTTTTTTTGCCTATTTGGGAAGTGAAGATTTGGGTTCTAATTGAGCATACTAAATAATGTGGTGAAAATTTTTATAAATAGTCACTAACAAACTTAGCAATGATCAGTTGTTTACAAGGAGTCTCTGCAAATTTAGAGTGCATTATTTAACAAAAACATTACCTTATTACTTGCTCACAGCCTGCATGCAAATTATTTGTAGTATATTTTAATTTGAAGCATCCAATCCATAGAAAGGAATTTTCATTCTGATTTCATATTGTGATCCATGATTTGTATATTGAAGTGGTAAAGTTAAAGATTCGTAAAGAAAGAGATGCCTAAAATGGAAAAGGTTTCTGACCCTTGAAGAGAGGGATACAAATATAGTGAGCAGTTTATTAAAACTGTTGGGAAAACAATTTTCCCAGCTTTTAACAGAAGAACTCAAATTTAGAGCAAAATATTCAGCTAGAAGCTGAAAAATAGTATTTTTAATTTTTCTGTGTGTCTGAAGATTTTTTTAATAATTTTAAAACAATACTAAGTTTTGGGTTTAAATTTTTCTATTCAAATCAGAAAATTGCAAGGAAAACTATTTCAGCTGAAAAGTCTGTTTTCAGTCCAAAACTTAGAGAGATTTTGGTGAATTTTTCTGAAGCCATAACTCCTTATAGTTGCTGAGATAGATTAGAATAACATTATGTAAAAAAAGATAGAATTATGCTGAAAAACCCCACAATGAATATCAAGAGCTTAAGGTGAAAAATCAGAAGCTTACCCATTTTAAGGAAGTTGAAGTCTGTTGAACTAATTTAGTGGTTTTACATAAAGAAGACCGAGTCTGAGCAAAATGAGAAATTATTTTGTGGACTATCTGGATATTTTAAATCCTAAAGACCTGTTTTGCATTGCTTTGAATTCTACTGCCACACATATATTCTTTTTAAGCCATTGGTAAGCATCTAATATTATGGTTTTTTCAACTAATTAAACAAAACCTGAATAATTATAATTACTGCCCTAGAATAAGGAACTTAAAAATTTAACTTCTTCATGAACAATCACCAATGTAAGACTTTTAAAGTACGAAGGCTGTGTAAAAGAACATTCTTCTTGATTCTACATCATGGAAGAAACAATAGTAATACACAAAATAAAATAATCTATTTTTTACATCTCTCATATCTATAATGGTTACAAAAACTAGAGAATTCATAGTGTTCTTTTTCTATTCAAATTTATGAAAAATACAGGTATCATTGACTTGAGGGTCACAACTAATAAATGGTACACAGTTGTTATATGCATTGGTTTTGACTTGCACAGGTACGTGTGTTCACATTTTCTGTTGGCCAACATAATTATGACAAAGGACCCATACAGTGGATGGCCTGTGAAAATAAAGGTACTGTGTTTTTCTTTTAAACTGATCTTTGCTAGAGCTTTGGGTAGGTGATATCTATGTTCCCTAAAAATGCAGATTTTTCAGCTTGGTTTTTTAAGTTTATTGTATTTGTTATTAGAATTTCCAAAGTTAATTTATTACATAATATATACATGAAAAAAATCACATGTAAATGAGAAACTGGTATATTTATTTCATTACTGCTTTTTTTAAAGCTTCATATTGTATAAAAACTACCACAGTAGTTTTTATAATAATGAGCCATTATGGTTCAGTTTTGAGAATATTTGTTGTAATAGCCATCTATGTAAAGTTGGAACTGATGACAGATAAGAAATTAGGCAAAGCTGGTTTAAATTAAGTGGTCTGGACAAAGGGATTTTTGTTTGGTTAGTTGGCTCATTACATTTCTTTCTGTTTTTCTCCAAAACTTACAAGGGATAAGATACTTCGAATTTTTTCCCTTTTTAAATAAAATTATCAAAATTATTCTTGCTGTGATTTCCTAGTTTCTGAGAGCTTCTTGTATTTTCTATTTTTATTTTGTTTTCTTTATGTAAGACAAAAAGAAAATGTAAATAAGGTGAAAGTAAGGAAGTAAAATGTTTTCTATATTAAATTTTTACATTAAAAATGTATTCAGAAATATTTTGAGTGTGAGAAATTTGAGTCACAAATATCGTATAATATAACTGTACAACAAGGCATGAGATAGAGACATATAGCAGAAACTAGAAGAGAAATAATAGAAAAGAATAGAGATAAGTTGAAAACATAATTTATCAAACATTTGCTTATGTTTTAAATAGAGCAATTTCCAGGCCTGAATAAAAATGTAAAACTATTTTTCAAATTGGTGAGAAGTAGGAGGTGTGAGGTGAGCTGAATTACAAAGAATCTCAAAAATTAGGACTGCCAGGGAAGAGATAAAGATATGCTCAGACAGATGAGTAACATAAAGCAAATATAAAAGAAAGGCATAGATATGGGAAAAAAAACCCAAAAAACAAACTAGAAGAATCCATAGCCTGGATGGATAGCATACATATGTGTCATAACCTCATGAAACCCTCGGCATGCTGACAAGTCATTCAGAAGATACTACAACTCCATGAAGAGCAGATTGCATTGTCAGATAACAAGAGAAATTTGACATTTGTGTTTTGAACAGAGTTTTTTTTTGACCACCATCTTTGTATCTCAAAATACTGTGTGCGTGTGACCTCCATTGTTTTAAAACAAATGAGGACCAGCTGGTTTAAAGCATAACCACCTATGTCATCTTATTATTGAAGGAAAATCATCATAATCTTCTGTCCAAAATTCCTGTGATTATTTGCTTGCACATCAAAGAAGCAGTTTTATTTTATTTTTCCTAAATTAAAAGATTTCGCATACAGCAAAGGAAATTACTAATGTCAATACTTTTGCCTCTCTAATTCTCTGCCTCTTCCTTGCAATCTGACTTAAAATTTTCTTGGACTGAAGATGGATCTCAGTGCCTGTCTTCAGTCTTATTACACGGACAGTATTTTAAATATTTTTAATTCAAACAAATGAGCAATAAAATCAGTGCTAAATGAAGACATTTCTGATGTACATTCTCAGTGTAGGAGAAATACCCATTAGCTTTTTTTTCATTCCGGAGACTGCCTTATATTTTTATACTATGAATTCACTCTTGCGGCAGACCATAGCTATTTTTACATTTCTATATGCATTCAGTATATAATTAGGTTGCAGCATATTAAAAGAAACATTAAATATACTTGCACATCATAGTAAGTGGGATTTCATGAGTACAAACTCAGTATATGATACAGCCTTAAACAAAACAGCCAAAAGTGACAAATTATAACTGTCATTACTTAAGAGTGACTACCTTGGTCTGAACGACATGGTGACCCATCATATGGCCATGCATTGTGGTGGCATCTACTAAAAAGTATTTCATTCATAAACAATAATTCTAATAGAATTTAGACTAGAAATTATAAGCTAAATTAAATTCTTCAAGATTAAGAGTGCGGCAATTTATTATGGTAAAATGGTATTATTTCTGTTTCAAATTTTAGGTTATTATTATGAAATCCCATCTATTGGAGCCATAAGAATAAACACCCAGGTAAGTGAGTTGGTCAAATCCAGATGCAGTTTTGACATGCAGAAAGTGGATTAACATATGTTCTTGGATATGTTCACTCTTCACCTATGATAAAATCAAGTGAATTTTAAGATTCACTGCCTTTAGAAAAGAGAAAAAAATTAAGGCTTTCTTCTACATTTAATAGATTGTTCTCTTAAAATGTTCTGCTTTTTATTTTAAGTGGTTGCAGAGAACCAATTTAAAACGTTATCCCTGTTACCCTGGCCAGCTGGTCCAGAGCAGCTTGTGTGCTGCTCCCAACACTGGTCACGTTCACCTCCTCCAAAGCAGGCTGACCATGGGCACACCATGGAGTGTCTGAAGTGCTCTGGACCCTGCAGGCCTCTGCACAAGGACTGTGCTTTTGGCTCAGCTTCCCTCCAGGCCTTACATGGTCCCTCAAACTTTGATGCTGAGACACGACAGCAATTTCATTATAAAGTTCTATAAAAACAGTAATATTTTATAATGTGTCTAAGAAATCATAGTTCACCCTCTGCCATACTTTCTGCATGATCCAAAGGGGTTGTACCAGGTGGAGGGGTCTGTAGATGTATGTGAGAGGATAGCCCTGGTAGAGCATCTGAACTCATGTGGGTGCTACAGTACAATCCTGCTTTATAGGAGAGGTACCTGGGTGGATCCAACCCTTTTGGAAGAGACTGCACTTCTTTCCTTCAAAAAGGATGTAGGAACATGTTAGCAGACTTGCATGTAGATAAATAAAGGCACAGGACTCCAGGGTTATATGATGGGATCCAAACTGAAGATGGACAGTGTAGAAGAACAATTACTCTTTTCAGTTGTCTGAAAGTCCAGATACTCACATGTCCAGAACAGCAGAGAAATATCCTAGCAGTTCTTTGTCCTTCCAAGGCCAGGCATGACATTTTTTGGCAGAAAATAAGAATCCTTTTTTGGCTTGAATAAGAACCCTTTGATTCTGTTAAACTCTTCCAGACAGTGTCTGGCAAGATGTATCCCTAATAAGATCAGACAAGTAGAAAAAGTTGATGACTGAAAAAAGGTTGATGGCATCCACTCCCAAATAAGTCGAGAAACCTGACATTTCATAAGATCACCAGCTTTAGCCATACTCAAAAACTGAAGGAAGGCAGGAAAAATAAGTTTTATAGCTCTGATTTTTGTTATTCCAAAAGAAGTTACGCAAATTGTTGCTGTAGGAGCTTAACATACCCAGATATTACACCACTGACCCTCCATTGTCCACTCTTTCTTCTGGACTGACAGTTCTGTAATCTGCTTGCAATTTCTTGATGTCATTAGCAATTAAATAAGAAATAGTTGCAATTCTCATTTTGTAGAAAAAGAGTGGTGGTTATGAGTGTTTAAGGTCTGTGTGACTGGGAATGAAATACAAGAATTACCTTTTCAGTCCAAACCGCAAACTGAGGACTGAGTTTTGTGGTACAATTTTTAAGAAGCAAATAAATGCTCCTCCTGTAGTAATGGTGACTTTTGATTTCCTTTCTTCCCCTGATATTTTGAATTTTTACTATTTAATTATTGTTTATTTTAATATTGTTTGTGCTCTTTGATCTAATAATTGCCTTCTGATGAGTTCATTACACTTTTTAACAGGAGTATCTGGATGTTTTGGGAAGACCAATGGTTTTAGCTGGAGAGCAAGCCAAACAAGTCCAATGGACAAATGTCTATCTGGATGCTCTGGTATGATCTGTATTTATCTCTATTAAAGTAAGAATTCTAGAAAATCAGTAACTGTGTGGGTCTGCTTTCCCAAGAATCCAATTTCTTAGAGTTAAAAACATGATGTTCTTGTGTTTCTATCATCTATACACATCAATACCGCAGCCTCTTGGAAGAGACCTATTTATAATGTGCTGGTCTTACTTGCACCTAGTATCCATCTAAGTGTCCTGAAATTTAATGGAGAAAATCAGTTTATTCTCTGCAGACTTTGAAGTGTAGGCCACTGCTGTTCTCAGCTTTAGCAAAAAAAAAAAAAAAAAAAAAAAAAAAAAAAAAAAAAAACCAAAGAAGCTTTCCATTGTTTTACCTACTGCAGTAAAGGTCAATTGTTACATTTCTGGTGAGGAATTCTTAGAATTCTTAGTTTTTTCTTTTTTTTCCCTTCCAAAGAACATTCCAGGAATAATGAAATCTATCAGTATTACTAAGTATTTGCACAAATTTTGAACTTTGGTGGTTGTAATTCTTTGCTTGCTCAAGGTAATGATTTCTTTAACCTTTAATTGGACAGTGTAAATAATGGAGATATAAAGAAAAATAGATATGAAAAGCTTTCTTACTGCTGAATTTATCACTTTGTTCTTATAAAACACACATGCTCAGGAAACTACAGGAGGAAAAGTATTGTTAGCAGATATCTAATCTCTTGCTCTGAATGAGCAACTTCTGGCAAAAATTACTGCAAAATGGTCATTTGGACTCACGTATTTATCCAAGCTCACGCAGTTGTCTAACGTCATGTCAAAATGCACATCTTCCCGTCAGTCAGCATTTCTGTAATTTTTTTTTTATCAACATATAATTTATACTGTCAATACAACTGAGCATGACAGAGGAACTAGTTTTTCATCGAAATTTCAATGTCCAGAAGTTCCTTCACCACGTTTTGTTTGTTATTTTTGAGGTACTTACTGGAAACATAAAGGATGTGATGACAGAAGTTCTTACGCTCTGTACATATCCTGTGTTAAAGCCAAAGATAAGTTTGTAACTAGGAATAGGGATCTGTTTAGTCAAGTAAAATAAGTGACACCTGCAGGCATCTCTTGTGTTGCTTTATGCACTCAGTGGGTTCATTCATCAAGGTTTTCTGCCTTCACGTGTTACATATGTGTGTTTATGATTATATATACATATATTTGTCTATGTACATACACACATATATACACATAATTATATGTAAATAAAGTAGGACAAACAAAACAAGGTAAAGTACTGAAGTAAAGGTTCAAATTTGTGGACTTTTTCATCACAGTTGGGACTATAAAGGCATAGGTGTATCTAACCCCCTCTAAGCCTTTTCCTGATTCTTGGTTGTACAAGGGAGGGTGTCTAAGTTGTCACAGTTGTTTGTTATCTTAAATTCCATAAAAGAATTCCCTCATGTAGGGCTTACAGTTCTCTTGCTTGTGGCTTAAAGGACTCATTCCTATAATTTGGTCCTTGCTATCCAGTGGCTAGTTTTTGGCTAAGACTAAAGTAATGCAAAGTGCATTACATGAGGCCACATTAGTGCATAAATTCAGGTTATAAAAATCTGAAGAGGAACTTTCATTTCAGTCTGGCTTTCAAGACTGTTTTTAATAATTTGATGTATTTGTAGCAATTCACATCTTTTTCATAGCCCTGTTCCTTCAGATTCTATTTCTGTGTTGTTCTGGGTTCATTTTCAAGATGATCCCAGAATTTTCAGATACTTTTAGGTTTAACAGTTAAGCAAATTTTTTTCATAATTGTTATCCTCTCTAGCTTTACCTTCTTTTTTTCTTTGTAGGGGGGGAGATTGTGTTATCCCTCATACATCCCCCTCCTATTTCATTATGTATCTTTTCAATTTTTCTTTTAAATAATATCTTCTCTACTGATTCATCCCCATGTCTCTTATTTTCCTACAAAATCCACTTCACTTTGCTTGTAACTTTACTCTTACCTCATTACCTTTCATTTGATACACAAATGAAAATTCATGAAGGATGGTTTAAAATTCAAAAATTCAAAAAGGTGCTACTAGACTGGGAAAATAGAGAACAGATTACACTGGAATGGATTCATATAGTGTTCCAGCTTTTTTTTTCTTTTTTTTTTTCTGCAAATGAAACAAAGGAAGAAAAGGGATATGACTCCTCAATAAACTAGATGGAAGGAGAGTGAGCATAAATGAAGAGGAAAAGTTTGAAATTAAACTCAAACAATCACATAAAAAAAAGGTAGAAATCCCCCTATGGACAGTCTGGAATAGAAAACAAAACTTTCCTGGCTATCTGAACATATGGTGTTCTGGATCCTATTTTCAGTATGATTTGTGAAGGTTACTAAAGGAAAAACAGATTTCGTATATCTTCCCAAATAAATGCAAATTCCTTGCCTCAGTTTCCTCAGTACCAGAACAGACTTTGATTTTGCCAAGCCCATGATAGACATTATTGCACACCACTCAAAAGTAGTGATGATAGAAAAAGTAGAGGAATTGCCTGTTGTATTTGTCTTTTTTTTTTTTTTTTACATATAACACTGTATGTGTTATATACCTGTTGTGGTCTTACCCCAGCCATCAACCAAGCCCAATGCAGCTCCTCACTCACTCCCCCACTGGTGGGACTGGAGAAACAATCAAAGGGGAAATTTGTGACTTGAGACAAAGTTTAATAGGAAAACAAAAGCTGTGCACACAAACAAAGCAAAATAGAGAATTAATTCACTGCTTCCAATTCCCATGGGCCAGCCGGAATTCAGCCATCTCAAGGAGAGGAGAGCTCCATCACACTAGAGGTGATTTGGGAAGACAAACACAATCACTCCAAATGGAAATTTAATATTTCTAAGCTTTCCTTTCCTTTCCTTTCCTTTCCTTCCCTTTCCTTTCCTTTCCTTTCCTTTCTTTTCCTTTCCTTTCCTTTCCTTTCCTTCCCTTTCCTTTCCTTTCCTTTCCTTTCTTTTCCTTTCCTTTCCTTTCCTTTCCATTATCCATAGCTTTACACATAGTGGATACTGTAGTTGCAAATATGTTTTCATAACATTTAGGTTTTTTGAAGCTTCTTTATCCTAAGTTGTTGACCAACATCTATCTTTAAAAAATAATATACTGATCCCACTAATATGTGGACAAAAAAAAATCATAATTTTAACTTTCTATTCATCAGGTCAGTGAAGTATTATTATTTTCTCTTTTTTACAAAATTGAAAGTAATTGTTTTTACAAAAACTGAAAGTAATTGCTTACACACATTCTTCCATTGTTCTAATATATTATGGCTTAACATTTGCTTTTTAACTAAAAAGTCTTTTTCTCTCTTCTTCACTGGTTATTTTTTAGGAGCTGGGCCTTGTGATTACAGGAACTCTGCCTGTCTTCAATCTAACAAGGGAACAAAATGGGAAAATCGTAAGCTTTTTGTTCAAAGAAAAATAAAAAAGCATCAGTTATAGAAATTAAATTTAATGTTAAATGCCTTGAAGTATGTGTATGTCCATAGGGTATTTTTTAGTGTAATTGTCTTGTACATTAGAAACAAGGGGTCATATTTGCTTACCTGATAACCTCCTGGGAACAGAAAATGCAGTGTTCTTTTACCCTTCTTGTTATTCTGAGTTTCAGGGTGTGTCATTCCACTATCTATCCCTGGGCCTTATTTGCAGTGGGAATGCATTAAGTGCTCAATAGATAGGAAGTAGATGGTGATGGGAAGTAGATGATGATATTATTTAGACCTTTGTAAGAAATAATGTCCAGATAAATTTCTAGCAAATCTCTGAGGCTATAACATTTCAGGTTAAAAGGCAGTGATGTAGAGAATATAAATCAGTATATAATTAGTAACGATAATGGAAAAGAGCACTATACTTAGATTAAATTCTAAGTGTTGAATGAATAAAATTGCCCATTCCTATTACTGTCTGACATGGAATATGTGTCCTCTTCACAAAACAAAAAAACAGATCTGGAATATGCTTGAACAATGTGTGGTAAAATATTGTATTTTGTATTGTATTTATTTTTGGTGTACTCCATTCAGGTCAAAATATATACAATTTTAGACAAAATATTATTTCATTCAGTTTCTCAGGTATTGCATAGAATGAATCAATGAGGTTTGGATCAGTGCCATTTATTTATTTGACTTTCAGAATAGTTCTCCTAGTTTCCTTTTAAAAACAAAGCAATAAAACAAAAAAATGTTTCTTAATCTTATCTACAAGACAATGCCTGGAATTGTCTGAGTCTTGTTCAAAGTGACAGACTGCTGATTATCAAAGGATGTCTTTCTGAGAAGCTAAAGAGACGTGATCTAGTACACAGGAGCAAGAAGAGAACTCAAATCTGCTCGATTTGTATCTCTACCTGAATATATTTATAGGCTGCAAGATACCTCCTCCGGCAAATTTGACAATTTTTTTTCATATGGAGAAGGGATTCAGGTCACACTATGTAAATGACTGCCCTCCTTTTCTGTAGTAGGAAAATAAATTATATGCAAAATAACTGTAGTACCCGAGTCCCTGATTTCAAATACTGATGATTCTTTTACTCACTGGGGATTTTTATTGTGTTGGAATATTTTTCATTCATCTTTATACTATAGCCCAAAGGGTTCATTGTTTTGAGGTCTCACATACGAACTGCCCAACCTTAGCAAAAAAAAGTAGCTCGGTGCTGGTGCTGGTAGTTTAGTATCTGTATACCTGGCAATATTATTGCATCACTTTTGCTTTCAGCTGTTTTGTTCTTACGTATATTAGGTATTAATCATATAAATACATATATTATATATTAATATATGTTCTTACATATATTATGTATTAATCTGGGAAAGTATTTATCTTCAGAAATAATTTTCATACTCTATGCTATTCTAAATTTATTAAATTTTCTTTTGAATCCCTTTTACATAATTTAAAATATTCGGAATTGACACACAACTAATTAGACAACTTCTCAAAAATATCTGTCAAAAAAGAGATGAAGGCAAAAATACAAATTTACTGACTGTTGCAGTTATTCTCCATTGTAAATATGTCATGTACATACTAACATTTTGGAATTTTACCAGAATCAGCTGATTCTTGGAGTAATGGGGGTCGACGTCTCTTTGGAGGACATTAAAAAACTGACGCCCCGATTTACGGTAAGCTGCTTGCATTGGTGGTTTTTCATGATGTATGTGTAATGTGTGATTTCTGTGCATGTTATTTCAAAAGTCATACTGCAATGACTGGATTCGAGTCAAAATACCAGCAGGCTTCTTTTCATATATTCTTTTCTATTGTTCATTTTCTGATGGTTTTCCCTCCAGCTGTATATGTGTTTCTGTGTGATTTGTCCATCAGAGTGCACTGTGTAAAAGTCAGCTTTTACATTGGGGGACGTATTACAAGTAATTATCTTCCTATATCTTAAGGCACTGCTCTTTAGTTAAGTGCTTGATTATTAATGTAGAGTATGCAATCCTGATTTCACCTGATAAATTTTGCCATTTTGCCCTCTCTTTATAGAAAATTTCTTTGATATAGATGTCTGTTTATACCCTACTCGACATGACTGATTTATTTATGTAGACATCTAGCTGTGGAATTTCTATGAAAATAACTGGTGCTGTGTAAAACAAAAGCTGAGGAAGAAAAGGAACATCACAAGTTTGACTGAAGGCAGATGTAAAATCCTACATTTAGAATGGATGGAATAATCCCACACCACAGCTCAGGCTGGGACAGGCTGCCTCAAAGGGCAGGAAAGGACTTGGGAGTCATGGTGGAGGACACACAGCACATAAGTTAGCAGTGTGCCCTGGCAGTAAAAACCAGCTGTGCAGTAAACATATGCATCAGTACACTGTCCAAAATTGATCTCCTCAGTATAATAAATACTCTGAGGCCCAGTGCACTAAGTTGGCGGAGGGTCTGCAGTACCTGGTACACAGGAAAATGCTGAGAGAGATGCATTTGGGCTAAGAGGGATCCTAAGGGTTAATTAATGGGAATTCTGGAGAAAACGGACCTTAGCACTGCCTCAAAAAGAGGCTGCCATCATAGGGGTGGCAATGGAAGTCCCAGCTGAAATTAAGGAAGAGGGAGAGCAAGCTGCCCAGAGAGGTTGTGGACTTACCACTGGAGGTATTCAAAGAATTGAAACCTAGTCTGACTTTGAAGTTGGACTTTATTTTTGAAGTTGGACTTTATGTTTTGCTTTCAGTGAGAGGTTGTACCAGCTGACCTTCAGAGGTTTCATCAGCCTAAATCATTCTCCTAGTTTAAGATCCGAAAAGAGTAAATATTAAGAAATTATCTTGTCTGTGTTCGTAATCTTATACTTCATGATGCCTGAGGCATGTGTTTTCCACAATGTGAGCATTTCTTGAAAACCATTAATTACTCTTTCTTTATTACTTAAAACCATATAATGCTAAACTTCATTTCTTTCTTTCAGCTTTGTCCAAATGGATACTATTTTGCAATTGATCCTAATGGGTATGTGCTACTGCATCCAAATCTCCAACCAAAGGTATGAAACAGCTTCTAATTTACTTCTCTACAAAAAGGGGACATTGTCAGAAAAAATCAGATGGTACGAGACAGCAATAGTGAATATTCTCAGTTTTGTGGGTGTTAGGAAAATCTGTGGTGCATATATGGCTTCATCCAAATCCACCAGCTTTGGCTTGTGTTGAATTTGTTTATTAATAAAATAAAAAATATATATATTTTGAATGCATATTTATACATGTGAAGTGTTTTAGTATATGTATTAATATAAAAACAGTTAGTGGTAGCTATAATATCATTGTGAAAACAGTATAATCATTGTGAAGAATCTTGAAGCAAACTGAGGAGTTTTCGTGCACTTTTTTGGGGGATACTTTCTCATTTAAAAGATTTAAATTTTCATACTTGCAAAACCAAAGAAATCAGAGGAAAGAACAATGTATTTTATTTGAATTGTTGTATTTATTTATTTGCTTATTTTTTGTTTACCAGAGCTGAAACCTGATCTCAGGGTTGGGATGGATTTAGCTGAGCACCCCTCCCCAGAACACTAGGTTTTTAGTACTTTAACTTGAGAAAGGTCTTTCATGTTTAAACATGATACTTTTTTTCTAAATATGATTAGGACACAACTTTCATCAAATTTCAGGAAAATAGAAACCAAGTCTTTCAGTTTGGCTCTTTATCCATTAGCTGTAGTCATTACCTTGTGGAGAATCCTACATTGTCTGTATCTTCTTAAATAACTTGCCTCCCTGACATTGATGAGAAATTTCAACATGAATGGATGATTTTTTTTTTTCTGAAATCAGAACCTTGATCTTGGTTTTAATGAAAGGTTTCTCCATGTGAAACAATCTTCTGTTTAGTGGACTTCTTGAAAAGTTTCATATTTTAATTGCATTTTTTCAGTGAACTTTTCAGTGAATTCTTAAGGTTATATTATATAAAGGACAAAGTTAAAGTAACTTTTTTAATTGTCAAAGACAGAAGAAAAAACTAAGAATTCATCTACATATTTTAGTGATTAATTTAATTCTTAATCTGGGAGAAGTCAGCTTTGTGAATATTTGAATTAATTTCCTGGTGAAGTAATTAATACATTTGAAATCTTTTGCCAAGTATGTATCACAAGAAAGAAAAAAGTGCTTCTGAAGAAGAAAAAGAATAACTTGACTGTAACTATTAATGAGATATCCCTTTTGATTTATTTTAAAAGACACTTCAAAAATATAAAGGAAAACCATGGAAAAGAAGGTTTTTATATAGTCTTCATAATTGGGCAGGACTTCAGTTTCTGGATATTTCCATTTGATTTTGATGTCTTAAAAAGTGGAAGTTTTGATTTGGTGACTTTTCTTGATGAATTCTTCAGAAGCAAGTATCTGCATCATTACTGACCCAGTCTTTTCTTAATTAGAGGTTATTAGTAATTAGATTATGGCTATTGGCCTATTTATCTTTCCCTATATGCAAATTAAACTATTTTCATTCACAGGAGTAATGTAAAAACAAGCAATGCAATAGCCTTGTTTTAGACCTAATCATTTGAGAAACTGATGGATATGGACTCTTTTCATCTCAGATGTGCTGTTATCGTGCACTGTTGGCTCACAACATTGAAGAATAAAAACCTCTATTTAAAACTCAACTCATCCCAACTAAATCTAGGCAAACTGAGATGGATTATTAGGATACTAATTGTCATGGTTTCTCTTTGCCTCATGACAACTACATTGTCATGTAGTTTTCCTCGTAAAAGGATATAGAAGTCCAGAGAAGCTTTCCCTTAATGCTCAAAACTTTGATTTAGACTATGTTTAAAGCAGGATGTTTTATAAATAATAATTGTTACGTTGCAGAACAATGTCTAAATGTAACATTAAGCATTTGAATTATTATTGTTATTGTTGTTATTAACAGTTACACAGACTAGACTTTTCCACTCCCAGTTTGTGTGGGGTGGTGCATGATATTCAGACTGATACAAGAACTACAATTTAAAACTAAGGTACTCGACAAAGACAGATATATTTAGAATTCATGGACTTTCTTTAATATGTCATATTAATTTTAAGTGAACTTTCCAGTAGCTGTTAACTTATTAACAAACAACGTCTTAACCCTCTTTGGCAGCAATTTTTCAATAGTTGTAAAATAAAACATAACTACATCTTTGCCTTTGAAGAGGTGAGGGTTTCTTACACTTCCAATGCTTCCTTCTTTTGAATGTCTTCCACTTTCCTTCTGAAAATCTATTTCTTCAAATCACAACTGGTTCAACAAAATATTATGAGAAATTGTCTTTAAGTTTGTAAAGTTGTTTGCACAACTGAGAAAAGTCAACAAATAACAAATTCAAAAGCATATTAAAATAATTTACAACTTTCCCATCATGTTCTTATTGGCTGAAATATAAGAAAATTATGCCAAAGCATAACGAGAACTTTTTTAATATGTATCTTAATATAATTTCAAACAGCTTAAACTATTTTTATGTTTGTGTAATTAGCTACTTTTTTATAGTACTTAATTTTATATTTTATTGCAAATTTTCTTTGTGTGTGTCTGCATATATATGGATATATTTTTCCCACTGTTATGGGAAAGAACAGGTGAATGCATCACCAAACAAACAGTCACTGAAGTGAGTCCATTAAGCATGGATTCACAAGCTTAATCTTAATTACATTTTGAAAACAGTAAATAATTCTATTTCTCAATCTATTCTAATGATTTGAATCCTTCTCTTCATTTTTGTTATGGTTCTGATCAAAACCCATTTAATGACAGTCCTAAAACTCCATACGCCTTCAGTGAGGTCCAATATTCTGTTTTACTGTTTAGTGTTATTTACAAAACTTAAGAGGAGCTGGATTTTAGGATGAAATATAAAAGTAAACAAAAAGTAAGCTATTCTCATTCTATATGTTACTCGTCAGAGGATGTGGAAGGGAGAGCTCTCTGTTAATTTTATTCACATTAACATATGTCTGATTTTTGTTTCCCTGTCCTAAAACTGTGTGTAATTCGGGCAGAGAGCTCAGAACTCATGATCAGGTTGAGGAATAGTCTCTGCTTGCAGTAGTAAACATGCATTGGACAGCACAGATGCTGAAAAAAATAGTTCCATTCTATAAGTAGACTATTAACTAATAGTGCATTAAATATAAATTACTGCTTTTTTATTACTTCAGCAAATTGGTGTGGGCATACCAAAAGTTAAATTGAGAAAAAGGAGACCCAATGTACAGGTAACTTTGGATGGAGGTGATTAGTGCATTAGAATGCATAGACCTGGAAATATAATTAGAAAGCTTCTGCCCTGCTTACTAGGAAAAATCTAACTAGAGAACTGTTCATTGTGACAAACAGCTTCCAAAGCATGAAGCTTGCATCCTTTCCTGTTTAAATAATAGAAAACATGCTATTGGCTGTAGTGAAGGGCATTCCATTAAATTATGATGCTTTACTAATAGGTGCTAATTAGAGTCGTGCTGTAAAAATTCTTCTTCAGATGTTGAAATTAATTTGAAGACTGGAAATAAAAAGAGACTACTTGTGCTGGCTTTGCTTGCATAAACCCAAAGTCAAGAGAAGATCAGAAGACAATTCTTGTGACTTTGTTGCCATTTTATTGTGCAGTGTATGCTGCATAAAATTACATACTAGACTATGAGTTGTTCAGGTTTTTGGGTTTTTTTTCCTGGGGAAGTCAGAGTAGAGAATATGTTCTATCTGATATTTCCACAGAATTTGCTCAGTTTAGCAGACCCAACTGCACAGAATTAACTGCCCATTAACCTGAATAGTGTAACTAGTCACATTTATGTAATGCAATTCCTGAGCAGAAAACACTTAATGAAAACTTATAAATTACTAAAAGACTATATTAACTCTGTAACGAGAAAAACAGTAAACTGAAACACAGTATATCAAATCTGATTTCTTACACATATGGGAATCTGTAATGCAAAACTCGTGGCCTGCATAGCAACACCAGTAAAACATGGTGTAAAATCCTGATCCAAGTCAGTGATTTCACAGAGTGTTGGGTGGCTGTGTTTATGACATGTAGAAAGCCACCTCAGGGCTGGGATTTTTGTTTGTGCACTGGAGAAATCAGCACTGAATAAAAAAAAAAATCTTTGTTTTCTCAGCATACCTGGCTCCTCTGCTTGCTATGGTGTGGTCTGGCTGCTGCTGGATTTGCCTGGCAGTGCACTGGAAAAGCTCTGGGCTCCCATCCACTCCAGATGCTCCTGAATTTACCTCTGTGGCACAGGATTTTGTTGACTTTTTCCATCACTTCTTTTTAAAGCCTAATAGCCTTTGTCTTTATTAGTACTGCAGATATGAGTAAATACTAGGCTCCTGAAACACAGCAAAGAAGGTCATACATAGAATTTGTGAGAACTGACCTCCCAAAACACACATTTTAATTAACTTTTTTTTTATGTTGCTGCACCAGTTCTTTCTTTCTTTGTTTCCTTCATGAGTTGTCATTGAAATTATAGATCCTTGCCTTTATTTGTCCTGCTGAAAATGGATTGCAATCCTTTTGTTTGCATGCTTCATTGCTAGTGATTTATTTCTGTTCTGTTTTGTTAAGTTGTGCTGCTGAATGTGGTGGTGGTGTGCTTTTTCCAGTCATGTTACACGCATGACTGGATAAAGAGAAGAACAAACTGAACTGTAAGTTTGTTTCTTCAAGGCTTGAAATAAACCCCAGTAAATGGCAACCTTGGAAATAAAAATTATGGAGCCCAAATACTGGTAAAAATATTTTTGGGGGAAAGAGGCATAAAGAGGAGTTAGTCTTCCCTTTTAAAGTAGCAGTGTAGCAATTTTCTGTTCTAGATTTTGGTGGTTGTCTTTGTGCCTCAGGCACATCTAAGAATGTATTTATACATGGTTAGGTTTTTTCACCTATTAAAAGTGATTCATAAGTATCATCTAAGAAATGTGAAGTGATATAATATAAATCTTAAAAGGAAGAATAGTTAATGCATACTTGAATTTTCACATAATTAAAGTTTTCTATTTTGTCTTTGGGACTCCTTGACTATAACTAGCCCAGGTTATCATTTGAAACAAGTATTGACCTTGATTTGATGTGATGGCTTTATTTTTTTTTTTTTACCATGTATCTTCTTCTTTGTTCCTTTGTGTGTTGGAATGGAATGTGAACTTCATAAATGCCTCCTCTGCCATGCCAATGCCTTCATGCATGCTGTTTGGGTTTGACCATGCTATTCATTATCCATTGCATGTAAGATATATAAATTTTTATTTATTTTTACATTTTAACCTTTTGTTACTTATTTTGAGAGTGTGGATTTGTTGGGAGGGAAAAGCAACTGCATAACAATAGTTGAATAATTTTGAATTAGGGAGCATACATTAATGCCATTATATTGAAGTGGCTAGTTTTATTAATCATATAGAAAAAGAAATGCAAACATTTTCTTGAAGTTTTCAGTAAATATTTTAAGGAAATACCCAGAATCTTTGTCTGCAATCTTTTCAGTACATATTCTCCTCCTGAGAATAAATGCATTGTTTTTTCTCTTAGCAGACAGTAAGTCTTCTTAAGAACAAGAATGAATCTGTCTAGCCAGAGACTTGTACATTTTATCCTCAAGAAAAGGAAGAAATAATCTTTTTTCTTCTGGAACTATTCTATATTACAATCTTGAACATAAGGGCTACTGTTAAGCTCTTAGTACTCCAGACTGTTACATGAAGGCATCTTTTACCCTTTGTTCAGGATATTACTTTCTTCTAGTACATACATGTATTGTGATGAAACATGCTTGCATTCCTTGATAGAACAGTCACATGTACATTTAGCTTTGCCAGAGAATGCTACAATATGAGGAATATAATTGTAATTTTGAAGGAAGGGACTTTAGTCTGCCCTTAGTCTATATGTCAGTATAGGAGAATTGCTGAAATCCCTTATTTATTTTTTTTTTCATTTTCTACTCTGAACTGTCAGATTTAAATGGTTAAGTAATACATCCCCCATACTCCTAGTTATAAAGAAATACACTTCCTTTTAGGAGGTGCATTACATAACTATTGGGTTATGAGGATGGATGATATTTACACAACACACAATATACAGTCAATGGGGCTTAGGCAAAATTGCCAGAAAAAAAGTTGGATTCCCAAGAACTCATATGGTAGATGGCTCTGGCCAAGTAAATGCAAACTGCATCTGAGAAAGGAGCAGAGGCTGGAGAGTGGTCCAATTAATTCAGCAGAGCTACAGTGGTCTTCAGCACTGCTGTGGGGCCAGGGTTTTTACAGATGTAGGTCACCAAAGTTCTCTGTGCTCCATACTTGATGGTTGACATCATCAATGTTTCTTAGGTCTGGAAGCTTGGTTTCAGTATTTCTGTGCTACAGGTTTCCATCTTCTAAACTGAGATAACAGTGCTGATGCCAAAAGAAATGCTTTTAAAACTCCAAGGTGTTCAGGAAAGTCCTGTAATGCTGACAATAACAATGGGGTTTATTTTTTTATAAACCCCAAATAATTGGCTGTAATTGCTGCCTCTTTGAATCTTGAACCATAATCTATTCCCACCTCACATCCTCAAGTCTGTGTTGTCTGCTCTTGGTAAAATTGCAGAGTACAGTTGCCCAGCTTACTGGTTGAGTGGAAAACTCTCCCAAATTTCTCTCTCCTTTCTAGGAGGCAGGATATCAAGTGAGAGACTCATATCCTCTGCTTCCTCTGCTTCCTCTGCTTCCTCCCAAAGCAGTACAGTCTGTGACATACCAGGAGAAGGGGAAGGGGGAGCAGCATTTCAGCATGAGCCCCATACATGACAGGCTGTGGACAGACACTGTCAATTAATATTAATTTGATTTTCACTTATCCAATTAACCTCTCTATTCAACAAAATAAAATGAATGAGAAAGGGCCACTAGTAATGCTACAAGAGATTAAAATAGATGGGTAAGTAAACCCACTAAAGTAGGCTAATTTGAAACGAAGGGATTAGAGTGGTTTGTAATACTAAAGTACTCTGTCTTTATTATTTGGTTATTTAATGTCTTCTGCTTCAGAATCCTAAATCCCAGGAACCTGTTACGTTGGATTTTCTAGATGCTGAATTGGAAAATGATATTAAAGTTGAGGTGAGATTACCTGGTTTCTTAGCACTTGTTGCTGCTCATATTTCATCATGTCGTAACTGCAAAGCAATGAATGTTCTAGATTTTTAATGGATATCTATGTCAATATAAATCTAAATATTAAATTTGTTAAGAGGATGATTTTATATAGAGATGAATTTATATTTAGATAAATTAAATCCCCCAGCATTATTTATAGGCAAGGGCAATGAATTATATTCCTCTCGCTTTGAAAAATACCATGATTGCTACTTAAATTTTTGTTCATGAAGTAACAATTCCTGGGAAGGAAAACTAGAAATTTTTTTTCAAAACATAACACTTTTTAATATAATATTTACCTGAAATATTTTAATATAATTCCCTATTAATGCAAAATCGTTTCTGTGACAAGTAAGAGAACTGAGAAGCAAAGTTAAATGTAGACAGCAAATTAATTCCTCTGCGTAGTTTTCAGTTACTGATTTTGTAACATATTCAGAAATGATAACTTTTTAAGATAATCAGTTAGTTTTCTGAAATCAAATGAAAGGCTTTTAAACATTTTACATTTTTAATATATTTTTCACTGAAATTGTTCTTTTACATTGACAGTAATTAGCCTGCCTTGGTATCTGTTTAATTCTGCCTTAAGTTCCTTTGAAATGGCTGCTTCAGAGGGGAGTTGCTCTTGAGCTAGTACAAAAGTGTTTCTGTAAATCAGTGCTACTACCTGAATCACACAGATGTGCTGGCAGGCACAAGAAATGCTGGGCAAAACTTCTTTTCATGGACACAGAATTCATTCTCTCTCTGTCAGTGCCCAAACAACAAGGAGTTTTATGGCATGGTCTAGCAATTGAAAGTATATCAGAACTGTTGCTTCTTAATCCACTGATGGAGTATATATTTGGATAAAACAACTTGTAATTGGAAAAATCTGAAAATTGTAAGCAAAACTTATTTTTTTAAGAGTTGTGGCTGCCATTTCCATTAGCATTTCCTGTGTTTTTAAGAAATGTTTTGATTACTTAAATGATTATTCATGTTACATGCAACACCAACACTTTTTCTCTTTTTTTTATTTCACTATTTCCATTTCTTGCTTGCCAATAGATTCGGAAAAAAATGATAGATGGAGAAAGTGGAGAAAAAACATTTGAAACACTGGTCAAGTCCCAAGATGAGGTAAGATAGGAACCCAAAGAGTTACATTTACAGGAATAAACCAAACCAGAAAAATAATGTGAAATGGTGAAATGCTATGATATTCATTTTGTAATGACAATTTGTACCATTTTTTCCCTCCAGATATGCTAGTTTTACTGGCTTATAGTAAAAAAAAAAATAATAATGTACTTAGGAAAAAAGACTTGTTTTGTTTCTTGGTTTCTTTGGTGCATCATTAATCAGGCAGTTGTTGATGAGGTCTTACACTCTGTTCAACAGGAAATGGACCCAGCCTACTTCTGTGCATGAATTCCAAAACAAAGTGCTTAATTTGCTTGCAGAAATGTGTGAGGATGGGTTTGGTAGTTTATATTGTGGTTGAATGGGAAGAAAGTTGTGAGAAAAAATAATAAAGTAATATTTTTGTGCCATAAATGAAGACTTAGGGATAAGCAAATTCATCTTACAGTTATATCATGTACTTTCTGAACAGCTTGTTGAGTTCTTTATTTTCTTGTCCAAAATACTTATGCCTGAAAAACATTGCTACTGTTTTCTCTAATAAGCAGACACGTTTCCTAGCAATGGGAAATACTCAAATTTTATATGGGTCATTACATGGGTGCTCTACTTCATGGGGACCTCAGTGAGAAGAAATCATGACTGGTGTGCTGAAGGAGCAGTTCTGACCACAGTACGCCCCACAGTTACAGTTCCACAACAGCTTTTTGAAAGTCTTTTTCTCTGACCATAAGTCAGTTTGAAGATATCTAATTTGATGACTTAGCAGACACTGGACAACCCATAGATATAAACTCACTATAACAATACTTAGAAGAATTTCTTGCAGTTAATTCATACTGACTTTCCCCTCTTGCTATATTCTTTAGAAGACCTGTATCAGCAGTGCCCTTGCCTCCTTTACTGTTTCGTGCTTTCTCACAGTAAAATGCTAAAACAAAGCTTTACAACACTGCTTTACAATCTCTGGGTAAATCCTGCTGTGTAAAAAAATTGTGGTGTTTTCCTGAATGGTTTCAGTGTTGGAGAATGGTGCACAAATAGGTGTTTTCTGGGGCAGAGAGGCTAAGCCCCAGTGGATGTCCCCTCACCTGTCAGGAGCCCATGCTGTTTGGGATGCCACCAGTCTGTTCCCTTAAGGGAAAATGGGTCATTCCTGAGCCACTGAGAGTGAGTCCAAAGTCCTGCTGGCATCTGAGAAGAGGATAAACTGCTACTGAAGGAAGAGACTCCATGCTGGGACATTTTCAGATTTATGTTGTTTTGTTTAAGGAGTGCCTTTCTAGACCTATGGGTGAAAAAGGCTCTGTGTAGGTGGTTAGAAGAGGAAGGGTTAGAAGGTCATAAAAATACAACACGATTAGCATTGTACAAGAAATTGCATTAATGGCAAATATTTTGAAGAGATTTCAGGCTGTTTGTACATTTCTCAGGCTGTTCTACAAAAGACCTGAAACATTTGGTCCTGCAACTCTTTGCCCAAAGAAAGAGGGAGGGAAGTATTGCAAATGCTGAGGTCAGTTACAGTATCTGGGCAGGAGGGAGGATGCAACATCCCTGGGTGCATGAGAATGTGCCAGTTACACACGGCCCAGACCACAATCTGTGTTGGAATAAAATATCCCAGCCTTTGATCCCAGATGTCTCAATGCCAATGAAATTAATTATCCTCACCTTCCCTTTCACCATGGCCCAAGATTTCTTCCTCTACCCAGACCTCTCTGAGAGAAGAAAGGAGCAGCCAGAGCTGGCTGGCTGATGACTGCTTCCAGCCATTGCAGCTCCCAGCTCCAGGCTGCTAGAACCAGAAAAAAGCTGCTTTAAACCACGGGCCACGCATGAGCCATGCATCACTTAGCACTTGATAGCTTCATATATTTTCTTATAAAATGGGCTGATGTGGTCGGTTGCTCTGAACTGACAGTTGCAGTCTTCGGGCTTAAAATTTATGTTCTTTTTGTTTTGCTTTTTTGGTTTAAGTTTGCATCGCTTTCCTTTTGTGTTGCAGCTGGCCCCAGCAGTGTCTTGGGAGATGACTTCATACTACAGCATAGAGACTGGACTTGTAGCAAATGTGGGTGGGGTGCTCTGAGTCTCCCAAGGCCTCAGGGGCTTTCCAAGTAACAGAGAAGATGCCATAGGAACAAAAGCATTGCCACATTTGGCAGCAGGGGTGGGCAGTAGTGAAAACTGAAGGGTCACAAAAGTTGCAATAACATGTGTGAGTTCCTTGGCTGCGATCAGCTGGGGATGGGATGGGCTCAGACTGCCCACTAAGGAAGTTGGCAAAGGTAAATGGGACCTGAGGTGTGAGGATGTGTTATCTGCTGAGTTTTCTTTGAAGGGAGCTTTCAGCCAATTTGCTTTCAAGCACTGTGACATTGCTGGTGGCAGCAGGATTTAATTACAGCCCAGCTCTTCTCTTCCCTCCCCTCCACCTTGGGCACTGTTTCTTCTTGTGGGGATACTCATGGCACTGTGCCTAATTTGGAGGGACTGCCAGCACAAGGTTCAAGTGGCTGCTTTTAGCCTGAAGTACACATTAAGTTTAAATAGCCTTCCATAGGAATCTCTTCAACTATGTTTTTACCTTAAATATGAAATGCATCAGGGTACAAGACACTGTTATATGCATCTTCTTTCTGATTTTCTTTTATCTTTTTTTTCATTTTCTTTAATCTTTTTTTCATTTTCTCTCAAAAATTACTATTAAATTATTTATCCTTTCATGCTTTACTGAAAAGCAGCAGCCAGGTAATGAGAGGGTTTCAATTTATTGATGTCATGTAAGTCACCACTTTTCCAAAGCCATTGCCATTTTCTCACTATCCTTTTACCACAGGGAAAGAAAGAACCTTGAGGTATACTTGTGGTACCTTTCACCAATGTTTGCAATGTTGCAGTGCAACAGCTGTACAGTCTTCAGTGCTGGCATACTTACAAAAATTTGATTGTTAAAGTAAGAATATGTTGCAGCTGGCATAATCTTATAGCTTTCAAAGTGGAAAACTGAGTAAAACAATATCAGCCAGGTGGATTCATGATTAAATCTATGGGGAACTGTGGGACTGTGCCTATCATGCTATTTTTCATACCACAAGGAAACAAATGGTAAAGATTATCCTAATATATTAAGTTATTTAAAAATAAACATTTATTTCAATGTTACATTTTTTTCCCAAATTCAAGATCTTCCTAATTAGATTAGAAACACATGCTAAGTTTATCAGGGGGTGTCCATAAAATCAGGGTTACCAGACTCTGCCTGTAGTTATGATTCAAATTTAAATGCCTTAAGCCAGTGGTGCTGTGACCTGAAAGGACAGGCTCTGGGTGTTTTTATTTTCAAAGACTTACCTACAAAGTCTTTTTGTAACTGAGTTTTTGTTTGTTTGTTTGGGGTATTTTTATCTTAGTTTAACTGCAAAATGATCCATAAAAGAGAAAGTCTTTTTTTTATCAAATTTCAATCACGCAGATAATGGTTTTCATAGGTCTGGCTAATGTGAAAATTACAGGTCGGGTTTGTCTGGTTTCATTTAAATTTCAATTTTGCTGATGTTCAATAAAAATTATGTGGTTGATTCTTTTGCAAAACATAAATTTGGAATATATTTAAGGAAAGGAGTTGCAGCTCAACCTGTTTTTTAGGAAAAAAATAAATAGAAATACAACAGATTTATACTTTATTTTACACAGTATTTCTCAAAGAAAGGTTGCAATTATTAAAGCTCCTTAGTTGTATAATTTCATTTTTCACCAATATCTCTTTGTAGAGGTATATTGATAAAGGAAACAGAACATATACATGGACTGCTGTGAATGGCACTGATTACAGGTAACTCATTTCTGTCCACTGACTTCATTTGTTTATTTAAGTGTCCTTTTCATTAATTTTGGTTGATATTTTTAGCATTACAATTTTTGTACTAGCAAAGGTGAAACTGGTGTGTATGTTATTTAGAATTAATTTAAGCACACAACATTGTAACATTGGAAGGAATGTTGAAACATTCCTTAACATTACCCAAAACAAATAAAGGTTTTCCAAGTCTCAGGAAAGTTAAACTACTCTGGCTCAAAGCTACATGGTATAAATATTGAGTCAAATTTTAACCAAAATGCTATTTATGTTATGGTAAATTACAGTAATCCTCAGACAAGTTGGATCCCAATTTCTGTTGTCTTCTGCACAGGTGTATAGTCCTTGAGAATGCAAACATTAATTTGAGTGTAAAACTAAACAAATCAGTTTTAACAACAGAATATAAACCTAGGGTCTTCTATTCACTATTCCAGTTTTCTGTTGAACTGCCTCTATCTTTATATTCTGTAAGAAAAGGAAGTTTTTATCAGACTGCCATCTAGCAATCACTAGAGAAATATGTTTGATTTACATGACTTCTTAATTCTGTCTGGGCTTTCTGGCATGAGATATGGCAATAAATCCTCAGAGTATCCTTGCAGAAAACTTATTAAACATAAAATTATAGATTTTAATTAGCAATTTCTGCTAGCAGTAACTGTTAATGACAGGTACACTGCCACTGATTTCCCTAGAGGAGAATTGGTAGAAGGCTATCACAAAATATTCAGCAAGCTCACTTATATTCTGTATAAATTGCAAATGTGTCACTAAAGGTCAGCTCACTTATGGGTCAACTGTGCAAGATTTTTAATGTTAATTTCTGCAGCTCTTCATTAGGAACTGTTGCAGTTCCTGAAATCCAAGTGAAAAAATTAAATGAAATCCAAATGTAAAAATTAAGGATGCTCCTTGGGAGTTGATGATAACTATTTAATGATTACTCATATCTCCTGCCCATTACATACATTTTTAGAACTGAACTCTTCTACATATGTGTAGAATTTAGCTGCAAAAATAATTCCTACATATTTTGAACAAAAACAAGTTTAATATTAAAGAAAACTTTGCAAATGCTCTGCAAATCTTAAAGTATTATTGTACAATTATGTTATACAACACAATAAATAATTGTTTCTGGTGACTGCATGATTAAAGAAAATATTTTTTTGAATCCTGAATGCAATGAATGTGAATGCAAGTATTGCCAGATACATTTCCTGGAGAATATGGATTGTTGTTGTATTAGTGAGAGCCTTTGGTAATATGATGTGTACAAATCAGCACAGTACTAAGTGATATTTTTGCAGTCAGTGATTACCATGACATGTTATATTGGGATGTTAAGTGTGTCAGAGGAAGATATAAAAATAATGTATTTTTTTATTTCCAGTTATTTGGAAATTCTCTGCTTATCTGCTAAAAAGTGCATTTGTGTTTAAAAGTGTAAATAAGAATGAAAATAAACACAGCGACCATCAGGATTGGCATAAATGTACTTGGGTCTATTACTAAGTGTGAGGCTGGTATTTCACAGTGTGTGTGCCTCATCTCATGACAGTCCAAATTACAAAATAGTTAATTGCTTTCAAAACACAAAGAAGCTGAAACTAGTAAACTTCTGCAAATAACATAATTGCTTTACTCGTCTCATTTCTATTGCAGTTTGGCACTGGTGTTACCATCATACAGCTTTTATTATATTAAAGCCAAAATAGATGAACCTATAACTCAAGCCAGATGTAAGTACTGTAAAGATTCCCTGTTTTTGTCTGGCATTGCCAAGTCTCAGATTCACTTAAAAAGCAATGTTTGAAACTCATAAATTTTGTGGAATTCAGTGATGTTACCATGATGTACCCAAAAAACTTCAGCAATGATTCTAACCTGTTGTAATACCTAAGGTGCAAGAAATATTCTATAAAAATAGAATATGTGCAGAACATGTCAGTTCCACTGACAATCCCTACCCCTTGCTCTGTGCCTATAGAATCATTGCTTTGTGTATCCTCTATTGCTGTCATTTTAAGGGTCTGGATACTATTTTTTTTTTCATTTTATTATAGGACAAAATATTGTCCTAGAGACTGTAAGAGTATAGCTCTTCATTTTTGTATTTTAGTTACAGTATAATATTTAGCAAATTATCTCTGCTAGAATGATGTGAAAGCCCTGTTTGGTTTGGGTTGCAGTTAGGTTTCATTTTGCTTTTTACAAATAGTTTTAGTGGATGTTTGCATTGTAGTTTTATATTAGACTGATTTCAAACCATTTGCAGATTCTGAAGTGATAACTGGAAATTATACTTGTATACTTGCCAGTCTTCAAAGGTTGTTTTTGGGGTTTTTTTGTTAGGTGTAGCTTAACTGTAATCTAGGTAGTACACAAAATAGAGCCAATCACAGCCTTTTAACTTTATCCAGGTGTTATGATAAATTTAGAACAAGTATGTAGTTAAATAGGAAGTTTGAAAAACACAAAAATCTCAGGCAGGCATAGATACTGTTTAGAGAAAACTTGATTAGCACTACATCACTCTCCTCTACCATTGCTCCCACATGTGAAGAAGAATAGAGGAACTTTTAATAATCAGTGGTTAATTTTGTAACTTTTTCCAATAAAGAGTACATTAACTTTTTAAGCAGAGAGTATGATTCTCTTGATGAATTAGATCAACTGGTTTTGCACTTGTATCAAAAAAACCTGCAAAACAGACCCTTGAAATAGCCACAGTGTATAGAAGGTACTGAGAAATAACTAAGAACCTATTCTTCAGTCTTCAGAGATGTTTGTCTTTTTTTTTCCAGACTACAGCTCTATGTAAATTGAACCTTTGAATCTATGTACAATATTTTTATTCAAGGGGCTGTTTGAATAAAATATTGGTTTGTGACCCCTTGTGCTTTACCCTGTTTTTTTCTGTTTCCCTGCTTTCTCTTTCTGATGGATAGTGACAGCCAAAAAGGGCAAGTATATTCTTGTTGCTCAATTTCCTTCTGTTTACTGCAGTTGATATTTTTCACTTATATTTCTATTCCTACTGGATATTCTCCTCTGTATTCCTCATCTCAGGATTCTCTTCATGATCATTGGGTCCCATAGCAATAGAAAGGGAAAAACAAGTGAAGTATTTTTCTGTTCTCATGCACTTTTTAATATGTTGCTAATCTCTAATCCTTCTTTGTCTAGTCCTTTCAGTGTTCAGTGATATCATCTATTAAAGCCATTTTTTTTGGTAGGATTTACAGTGATGCTACTACGATTGAGATTTTTACACTTTATTACAGAAAATATTAGTAGTATTTTTTTCATATTCTCACAACTCAGCGTCACAAATATTTGTGTGTATTAGAGTTTACTTCTAGTGAAAATAACTCATTTATTTTCATGTTGCTATACTAATTGAATTTCTTCCTTAAATAAATTGTTAGGTATTTTCATACTGTTTCCAGTTGTATTTTGTATATAATAATCAAGTAATTTCCTCTACGTTGCAAAATACTGAGAAGCCTAGAATTCATTTAGGAGAAAGTGTCAAACATTTCTTTCTAAATTCATGGATGCATGCAAAAGTTAGCCAAATAGTTTGATGAGAGAAACAATGGCAAAAATTCCAGTTTACTTACTTGGCGTTTGCTCTTCATCTTTTTAGTTACGGAATCACTGAAGTTTGATCGTTTTGATGAAACTGGCTATACATTTTTAGCTCCAAGGTTGGTTGATTTCCCAGTAATAAGTGTTATTTCTGTCTGATCTGATTATTGGCACATGGAGAATACAGATTTGACCAATAAAGCTTAATTTGGTAACAAATTATCAATCTTTTTTCATGCTAGAATGTAAATAGCATCTTCAGGCTCTGATTTCTGCTCATATTGGAGAGATATAAAAACTAATATTGATATTTTAATGGAAAAAATATTCACATCTGGGTATTTCTTGTGGTTCTGACTTCTAAGATTTTACAACTATTTTTAAAATAAGTTTCATAATACTGACCACAACATGTTTCCCAACTTCAAGACCAAGGGTTTCAAAGCTCTCTATTGCTTCAGTATTAGTTAATTTTCAATTAATTGAACATAAAAACTATTAAGTAATTGAAAATGTATTAATTTCATTTGTTTCCTGCGTTTTAGTTTTTTTAAAATGTGAAATTCTGCAGTTCCTATTTCCCTTTTAAAATTATGTTTGCAAGGTTAACCTGGTATGATAAAGACTTCCTAAAAATTGAGCTCCTCTAAAAGATAGCTATGATAAAGAAAGGAAGTGCTGTACAATTAAGATAATTGAGAATTATTGGGGTTTTTTTAATCTGATAAATTTCTGTGTACTTTTAAATTTCCATTAATAGATCAATTATTAGATTGATTTATGTGAAGTCTTCTATCTTAAAATGTATTCTAATTTAACTCTTTAATTTTTCTGAAAGACTGAATTTATTGAGAATTAATTGTACCAATTACAGTTTTCAGCAAGTCCCTACTATCCTACAGAACAAAGTCTGTTTGATATGTAGCTCTGCTTAAATGTGAATATTGGTATAGTAAGGTAAATTCTACCTGTGGTATCTCTGGATTATAGTAAGGCAAATAAAGGGTAATAAGATATGATTTATCTTATGACTAAGAAGTCATATGAAATACTTGAACACACTTCTTTTGTGTGTAAAATTAAATTCATATAAAAGCTCATTTTAAAATGAGAACCCCCTGTTTTAGTCTAAACACTCTACATTTTAATTAAAGTTGTTTAATGTCATTCATCATATAATATTTGCCTCCAAAATGCCCAGTGTCATCTGTTTTTCTTGCTTGCATTCAATTAATTGCTCAGTGATATATTGCTTTATTTCATTACACAAGGGGCAGGAGTTTACTGTTTATCTGCTTTGCATATGTCAAAACAAAGGGTGTTTATATGTTCCTGTGGTTGTACCCTAATAAAATTGCATTTAAAACTTCTCAGAGGATAGAACCTTAATCTATAAATCTGGCCTTAGCTGGGCACGGGGTGTCTATGTTTCACCAGCAGTCCAGGTTCTTTCCAGTGCAGTTTAATCCAGAAGCAATTTAAATTCACTGGGCATATTTTTAGTGTATAGACCATGATGTCTTAATGTGTCCTACACTACTACTCAGTTTTTTTAGGGAATCTATTCCCTATTTCATACATGCAGTCTTCTTACAATCCAAATCTTAACAAATGCTTAGCAGGCATTTCAACACTTTATTTCCTGCAGATGTCTGAATAATTGATATGGTAATCAATAAATACTGATCATGGCAGCCAATTGACACAGCAGTACGAGCTACTTCATAATAGTTGTGCAAGCCTGCTTGAGCTTCTAAATTGTCTGCTTTAGTAGCCCAAGAAAAAAATATATAGAAAACTGATGTTCTGTTGTTTTTCAGAGAATACTGTAACGATGTAAAAAAATCAGAAAACAACACCGAATTCCTATTAAATCTCAATGAATTTATTGACAGAAATACTCCAACCAGTTCATCATGTAAGTACACTTCTCACCTCACTGAAATATTTCCTTAGGAAAACACCTACTTGTGGATGAGAATTCAGGCTCACATTTTGTGGGTTTGTTATTTTAAGTAGAAATGTATCTAGTGTTGGGATTTTCTGTTCATGGTAGAGAGTGTAAAATTAGTTTTCAAGTTCTGACATTATTTAAGAAAGTTTGTAGGGCATTATCTATCCTGTGTTTTCCATAATTCCTCTAACCATCTTGCTCAAGCATCAAATAATACTGGTTCATTTTAATACACTCCAAATATTTTTGAGTTTATATTTTCTTGCTTGAGTGTAGCAGCCAAAGTAGGTCTCAAACAGACTGAAAATCTGGTAATGAAATCTTCAACCTGCTTTCTTGTAATTTTATTCCAAAATAAGTAAAGAAGTCCAAGACCAAAATACCCAATAAGCAGAATAAAAGATAAGGAATTTATTTTGCTGGTTCACAAATTGGTTAAAGAGATTTCACTTGGGCTTGAATAGCTTAAGACCACAGATCCATGTAACTGCTGCAATGGTGAGCACTGGACTTTGGGAAGGGATTAATTCATCTTTTGAGATTGAGCCTTAACCTCTGTTTAGAATAAATGAAGAGTTATTACCATCAGTAAGGTGCTAATGCTTTGTTCTCCAGAAAATATCAGTGTTTGGAATTGGTTTGATACATACACACCTGTTTATCATTATTAATAATTTATAAATACTTGGAATAATATTTTTTTTCTTGCTTTGCTGAAGTCTTTTTAACATGTTGCTGTCATGGATAAGTGGCAATTCAGAAAGAATCTCTGTGCTAGACGATGTAACTGAAGGAATGTCCACTTAGATACGATATCTTCTCACAAAAGGATATTTTTGTGTGCATGTAGGGGTGTTTGGTGTTCTTTTAATAGAATAATCTTATTCATTGACACATTGCTGACTGACTGAAATTTTATTTGAATACCTTGACTCAGTCTTGGAAATGAAAACATTCACCTCCAGTGCTTAAAGCAATTAATGATAACTTAATAAAATTTAATAAGACATTAAAATTATGTAATATTTAAGCTAATATTGAGGACACTTTTAGTGATGTTGTAGTATACAATTGTGCTTAGTAAATACTTATTCCTAAATTTTATCCACTTATTGCTGTATTTCAGTTTGGAGAATGCATCAATTTTTTCCGTCTACTTTTTTCTTATTAATTAAGTTACTTTAAAAATAATCTTCTTAATAAATAAACATTATTAACAGTGTTAAAGGACTGAGTGGCCATAGAAATTGTCTCAGCTAAAATGCTTTTCAAAAGGAATAGCAAATAAAACCCCCACACTGAAATATTCTTCAGTAACTCTGCTAAAGTGTTACTGAAAAAGGTGGTTGAGAAGCACTGACTTCAAAGCATCTTTTCAAAGAAATTTACGCATGGCATCTCTGTCTAAGCTACTGATTCAAAATGAGTTTATTTCTTTGTATCCATATTCAGATGACAAATGTGTTTTATTTGGGGACCTGGGACTTAATTGATTTAAATATATTTATAATGTAGTTGAATTTCATTAGGAATTGTTGTTTCCTTGCATCTGTTGAGATAAAAAGTGTTTTAATGAACACATGCTTTAAAAAAAGGTTAATTTGCAGTTTTAGGGGCTTTGCAAACCTGTGGCCTATACCTTTATCACCTTCCTTATTCCTGTGACACAAACACACATTTTTAGGATACGAAGGAAATGTTTAAGTGAACTCAGCAGTGTGAGAGCATTTGTCTGACTCTAATTACATGACATAATTTGAAGTTAGGCAGAATGTCTAATATTAAGACTACACCCACAATTTTTGTGGCTGGAGAATCTTGACAACTGAGATTTGCAATTTAGGCTTTTACTGAAACTCATCTCACATGGTTACAGATGACTTACATGTTAACTCTTTTGATAGGTAATACTGACATGATCATGAGACTTTTGCTGGATGCAGGATTTACAATTGAACTTGTCCAAAATTATTGGAGTAAATTGTCGCTGTAAGTATTCTTTTTATTTACTGTGATTTTTTTATGCATTTCAGAGTTTGAAAACAAAATCTTATACATCTGTGTGAATATACAGATATGCAGTTAATGTTACAGAGAATAGGTATTTATTTACAGTTATGCACTCTAATGGCAACTCTTGACATAGAAATTTGTGAGAATTTCAGTCAGTTTTCATTTTAAATCTTTTTATTTACAGCGATGGAGTTGTTGCACAATTTGTTGTTACAGATGGTGGAATTACTAGAGTGTTCCCCAAAAGGTAAGAATTATTACAAAATAATATAATATGATATTTTGATGCATGAAAGGGTGCACTGTTAAAGAGTGGCTTTATTGAATGAAAAACTACAGTCTTCTACGGTCTAATTTGTACTGATAGCTATGAAATTAATGGAATGTCTTGTTTTTCTTTGATTTTACCTGTGTCACTGCTTGAAACTAATCTGCCCAATTATTTTCATGACAGGCCCTTGTAATACAAGTTTCTAATCAGTGTAGAGTAGCAGCAAAACTATGCCTTTGTAGTAGCAGTGGGACCATGCTAATTCCTAATTACTCCCAAGCATTCAGTTGTTTGACAGACTGCAAATATTGGAAAGTAGTAGGTGATATATATATATTTTTAGACTAAAATGAGACTTAATGGTCCAGAGACTTCAAGAGAGAAAAATGTATCATTATCAGAGGACAAAAAGGGAATGTGACATGCAATAAACTATATACACCCCCATGAGTGACTGGGAATAGTGAGGGCACCAGTACAGATCTACTGGTAAATGGCAAATGTATCTATTTTCTTAGGTGTTTCCCCAAAATGTGAAAATGGAAATGAATTTTACTTCCCAAGTGAGTTTCTTTCCTATTTTGGGATATTCATGATATTAAATCTTTTAGGATTAAGCTCAAAGTATGGCATGTGCTGTAAAGGTTCCTTCAGATTTAAGCAGTGTTGCAGTTGTATTTGTCACAACAAATCTAAAAGTGATGAGACTAAATTAGTGGTTTTCCAAGAATACTATTTTTTTTCCCCAAAGTTTGTTTGTTTGGAGTTTTTCTAATGATTACACGTGTCTTTTAACCAGTGAAAATTGACAGTTCCTGAGGACTATAAGAAGGAATTTTCCAACTGTGAAACACTGAAAGAAAACAACACACAGCACAGATTTAATGAGACTCTAAAGTGACTTTTTTTGATCTGTATGTTTTTTTAATTTAGGGCAGGAGAAGATTGGTTGGAAAATGCTGAAACTTATGAAGTCAGCTTCTATAAGAGGAGTTTAGATAATGACAACTATATTTTCACAGCTCCATACTACAACAGTAAGTCATCACAGTTTAGAATTGTCAGAGCTATCTAGTTCAATATAAGTAGAGGTTTTCCATATCAGATGAACTCACTGACAAAAGATGCAAGCATGACACTTCATAGGGACAGAAATCTTGGGATAATATTCATTATTAAGGGAAAGATAGGAGGCACTAAACAAGGTCATCATAATTTGTCAACTACTCTGGTGGCCCTGTGTGCTCAGAATTAACCTAAGTGAAAACATCCAGAGTACTGGTGTTCATTCAGTGTATTGAAACACTGCTTTACAGAGATACTTCAGCAGAATTATTTTAACATAAAGTGAAATAAAATTGCACTCAGAGACAATTACACTACCTAAAGTCCAAACAGAGATGAGTTCTGTATACTGTCTCAGCACCCCCAGCACTTGGGGGACTTGGGGGGACCAAGCATAAGGGTCCAGCGTCCATAACTTCATCCACTGCACCACTAGTTAGTTCAAACTTTGCTTTTGAATTCTATTTACAATTGCACTTGTTCACCAAAAACAGTTAGTCTAAGATATTGTGACATTTAAAACCTATATGAGCACAATAGCAAGCTTATTGATGTGAGAAACATTAATCTTCTCAAGTTTGTCGAAAAACAGATGTGCCCACAAATCTCTTACTCCTTTCGTAAACTTATGGTATCCAACACTTCACTGCTGTTTTTTCATAATTATTTATTTTTCTCAGTAAAATGTAAAGATGTTAATTAGTAAAATTCCCTGAAGCCTTTGCTGCTCTTCAAATAGCTCCAGGGAATCTATTTTTAACTTGCCTTTTCATGTTAAGCAATGTTGAAAACAGTTTAAGTCTGTCAGAGCAGAAATTGTACATTAGTGAGTCGTGTCAGTATGTCCTGCATTGAAAAATACACAGACATCAGGATAAAATCTTTGGTTCTGATCCTGGTTTTAACAGAGTTGCTGACATGTGTACAAGTATTCATGGCTCTGTTTGCAGAAGAAAATGCTATAGTTAACTTTATGAAGCATTAAAAAAGAACAAAAAGAAGAAAAGTAAGCACAAATATTTCTTAGTCATGCCAGTGTTTGTGATCTAAGGAGATAAATGTGTACTGCACCTGGGTCAGTGCTTTTGGACAAGGATTTTTTTAAATCATTCTGGTATTTCAATAATAATAGATTTTAGTTTCAGAGGAAGAGGTCCTCATGTCACCCTAACTTCTTTTTCTATTTTTTTTTTCTCTTCTATACTGTCAGAAAGTGGTGCCAATAGCTATGAATCAGGTATTATGGTAAGCAAGGCTGTGGAAATACAAGTTGATGGGAAACTTCTGAAGCCAGCAGGTAAGATAGAGTGGTACTGAAACTCGAAATACTTTATTTATTTGGTTGTTGCTCAATAGCCAATTGGAAATTTAATTGAGATTTCAAAGGAACTTCACTCTATAATAACATTATTTTCTCTGAGACAGTTTTAATCTTGCTAGTGGAAATCTGTTTGCATTTGAGTAAGAGTGTTTAATTTATTAGTCTCATGAATGATGTTGATGATCGGACAACTGAACAAAAATCGTATTTCATCCTTCTCCACTTCAGTGATTTAGATGTCTTTATAATTTCTCCCCCTTTTTTAGAATTATACAGTTACCTTTTTTTTCCCCTCATTTAACTAAAAAATAACTTTCATGTATTTCTTGTTAGTTGTTGGAATAAAAATTGATGCAACCAGCTGGATGGAAAATTTCACAAAAACTACAATCAAGAGCCTGGTAAGCAATTGACCAAGTCTTTTTTGAACTTTATTTGCATTTCTCAAAGCTTCAGATGCAAATAGGTTTACTGTCTCTTTGTGCCAGAGTCACACTGATGCATAGTTGCCAAGTAGTTGTGGTATTTAAATCATCCAAATGCACAAAATAAATCTATGTTGAAATAGGCTGTATTTTGTACGTGTCTTGCTTTCATAATTATAAGACATGGATAGAGACAAAGAAAAATTACATATTCTAGCTAGTATTAAGACTATGCCATAGCAGTGAATAAAACTGTAAAACAATTGATTAATCTTCTTTTATTTAATATCCAGGATGGGTAAGCAGTGAACAGTGAGGATTTATATTTCAACTGACATCACAGTATTTTAGCAGAACTTAATGAAATATGTGCTTAACCATTTCATTCCGTACATCTAATGTGTAATACATCTGAGGTGTAAATGGGAAGGAGGAAAGGTTAAATAAAAAGAAAATATGGAATTGATAGTGAATTGTGGAAGAAAGGGTACAAAATGAAGAAACTTAAAGAACACAAGTTTCTTACTGGGTCAGGCAATGTTGCTTGGTTGGTTGTATGTTCAGGGAATCAGTAAGAGAGTCTGGCTGGTTTGGGTATGGGGCTGCAGTTCAATGGGGAGGCAAATGCATTGCCTAAGTGTCAGAACAGTTAAGGACAAAAATGCATAAGTGAAAGATGGAAAGTAGAATGAATATTTCGGAAAGAATCCTGATGACTCCTGCATCACCTGGTAGCTGTTTTGCTGAGGACACAATGCAAGGACACAGCTGCGTGTGTATGTGTACACATACTACATACTGCAAGAACATGAAAAAACCCATTAGGAATCAAAGCCATAAAAGCCAGCTGGGTTGATGGACTTCCTTTATCACACAAGGTTCCCATGCTTTGAAGCTTTTCTTGGTCAAAGAAGACATTTTTGAAGGCTTTCTTTCCAAACTCCAAACACATGGGAACGCTCCTATTCTTTCTGGTTTACTTTATGTTCACATCACTGACATTCTGGCAAGTACTCCAAACTATTTATGTATACTCAGCATAGTGTTAAAGGGTATCAGATTCTTTGAGAAGGGCAGTCAAGATTGTGCTATTGATAATTACAGAATACAGGTTGTTAAGAGAGATATTTCTGATAAATGACACACACTCAAAATTGAAGTTTATATAGAGATATTGAAAATAGAATCATTTTTTCTTGTCTTGAATGATTAATATAACTTCAAAATACAGTTTATTTTGTAACATTTTTATGAAGATTACCATATTTCTGGTTTTTTTAGTGCAACAGTGAAATCTGTGGCTGTGAAAGAAATAGCATGGTAAGAAAATGTTCAATTTATGAATATCTGCCAGAGTATTGAAATTCAGTATTCTCTAGATCTAAAACAGATTCTATTACTATTATTTTAGTGGTAATTCCACAGAAAACAGAACTTAGTTGTTTACGTCTTGAGAAAGATGAAGGTTAGGAGGGGAAGGGGGGAAAGAGGGCATAAAATCAATAAAATCAGGTGAAGTGGTTATGGTGATGAAGTTATGAGAACAAGTGTAAACAAAAATATACAGGAAAAGCAATAGAGAATGATGTCAAGAAAAATGTGATAAAAATATAACAATAATTTGCAAAACAAGAGACAAATCCTGAGGGGGAAAAAATAAGATAATAACTTCTAAAAATACTAAAAAAAAAAAAAAGAGCAACTCAGAGAAGGGTAACTGCAAAATTTAGAATCACCAAAGTCCATAATGTGCCTTTCCACAGCCACTGGTTCCCAGCACATTCAGGATCAGGGGATCCCATAGCTCTACTGGCACTCAGAAGAGCCCAGATCCAGGGACTGTCACCATATCAGGTTCTGCCATGTGCTTAAAAGCTTTTCTGTGCTCAGGTCTTCTGAGTGTTTTGAGGAATGTGAAGAACATTAAATGCAAGAATTACAGCAGAAAGGGTACTGTGGGGAGTTATCTATTTGACCTCACTGCTATCTCTCCAATCTCTGGCTGCAAGAATCTTTTACAAAGTGCAAAGCATATGGAATCAGTGGGTTTCCCATTCCTGCACCTGACACCTGGAATAATCCCACTACAGTCCTTGACAAGTGAAAATAATCACACCTAGCAAGCTGGGAGCCTGCCCTTAAGATTTTTATCATTGAAAGCTGCGAATGGAAAAGTACTTTAAATATGGCTGAAGCACATGAGAAGTTGTAGCCCCTTATTATGAACTGAGTTCCAGTTATAATCAGATTTAATAAGGATATAGCACTCTTGGAACTAACAAAGTATTGAGCAAATAAGAATTTGCAAAACAACTTTTATGAAATTAAGCCACAAATAAGCCTTTGATCTGTTCAAACTTTTATTATACAGATAATACTAATTATTATAACTTAAAATTGGCCTTTGGCTATTGGTTTGTGATTTGAAGATACTCTGATGTCTTGGAAAAAAAAAAGTAGCTTCTTACAGAGTGTTCTATTGACAAATCATTCCTGTAAACATATTTCACTTTCTTACAATAGCATGTAGACTGCGTTATCCTTGATGATGGTGGATTTCTTTTGATGTCCAATCGAGATGAATATACACAACAGGTATGTATATTCTTTAAGAACAGAACATGAAAACCAATAGGAAGTTAAAAGAGAAAAAAGAAAAGCATTTAACTGTCAGCTTAATCTAAAGATTTCTGAATCACAAAAATACTGCCAGATTAGAAATTCTAGGGGATTTGTTAGTGTTTTTTAGTTTTCTTTATAGATGAAGATGCCAAACTTGCTGCCAAGTTTCATTCTTTGTGCTTTGCCATTAGGCTGGTAGGCTGCCAATGGACTTAAGAGGATGAGGCCAAAAGTACGTTATCCACACACCTTCTTTCTCATATTCTTCTTGCTCTTCCCCAGGCAGGGTCTCATTGATGCTACATTTACCAGTTACTGTCTAAATGGGGAATTTAGAACTGTGCACTTTGTTATGAGAAAAATAATTGGAAATGTTTTACCATATCTCTCTGTATTTCCCCCATCAGATTGGAAGATTCTTTGGTGAAATTGATCCTGGCCTGATGCGAAACCTGATTAACATGTCCCTGTATGCCTTTAACAAGTCTTATGACTATCAGTCAGTCTGTGATCCCGAAGAAGAACCAAAGCAAGGAGCTGGACTTCGTTCTGCTTATGTGGTCAGTAGTCCCATGTGCGGTAGCTGACAATCCATTGAAAGTCTGCACATGTTTATGCAAATAAAATTACCTCTTACTTTTTTTTATTTTCTCCAGCCTACAATAACAGATATTTTGCAGCTTGGATGGTGGGCTTCAGCAGCAGCCTGGTAAGTATGAGTGTGTAGGAAATCTCTATCCAAATTCTAATTATTCAGTGGGCTGAAACTTTATTTGACTTGGATTTTTTTCCTCCATAAAAGTTCTCTGGACCCTTTGTTTCTGCAGTTTCTCATAATGAAAATTCTTAGCTATGTCTCAAACATGAATGTTTTGTCAACAGTTCAATTAAAAACTGCTCTTGACAGGTTTTGTGATTGTGCGTTCTGACTACAAAATCAGCTTCAGGAAGCAGAGTTTGGATTAATGGTCTAGGTATGATGGGCAATTGTGAAGTCTAAATTATCACATTTTGAATTATTGATCACTTGGTTTCCTATTTCAGTATATCATCCTTGCCTTTTTCTAGTAAGAAGTCCTAAGAAAATCAATGTTCACTTTTCAGTGAATCATTTTACAAAACACATGAATCATAGAATCATTTGGGTTGGAAAAGAGTCTTTAATAGTCATTGAGTCCAACTTTCCATGCAATGAGCAGGCCCATCTTCAACTAGATCAGGTTGCTCAGAGCCCCATCTCACCTGACCTTGAATGTTGCCAGGGATGAGACATCTCCACCTCTATATGAAACCTGTGCCAGTGTTTCACCATTGTTATTGTAAAAAAAAATCTTCCTTCCATCTAGTCTGAATCTTTCCTCTTCTTTTAGTTTAAAACTATCACCCCTCATCCTACTGGAACAGGTCCTGCTATAGTTTGTCTTCATCTCTCTTAAAAGCCCCCTTTAAGTACTGAAAGGCCACAATAAGGTCTCCCGGGAGCCTCATTTTATTCAACTGAACCCCAGCTCTCTCAGCCTTTCCTTACAGCAAAAGCACTCCATTCCTCTGATCATTTTTGTGGCCTTTGTCTGCAGCCACTTACAGGCCCATGTTTTTCTGTGCTGAGGACTGCAGAGCTGACACAGTGCTCAGGTGGGGTATTTTACCTTTTTCAGAGCCATGTTGATTGACACTCATATCAGCTACTTCCCTCAGCTCCTTCCTTATGGGGATAAGTGTCATTGATGTGGCGCTTTTGCTGTGGTGTAAATTGCACCCTTGTTGACTGGTCCTTTTCTAAAGATTCATTATATACTTTTCCCTAATAATAATTACCAAACTGCAATAAATTAGCTCCTTTACAAAGTTAAGAGTTAAAATATGTAGCTGCTGAAAAATGCTATAGTAATTTTCTCACAGAAGCACTATGAAGACAGTATGTTGTATTTTATTGTTCATTACATTTAGTGAACAGGAAGAAAAATAATCTTGGTTTTCTTGGACAACAGCAAGATTCAAAAATTGGAGATGGGCAATAATCCAGAACAGAAACTTGAGTTCTTTTACACAGAGAAACTTCAGTTTATCAGTGTTCAAATCAGACTCAGCAGTCTGGTCTCAATTTAGACCTGAGGTTTATTTTGTGTGATGCTTAACTTGAAAGCACAACATTAAAGTACTTTACTATGGCCATGTTTTTAATGGAATCTAGGTCAGAAGCAGGCAGAGAAGGCCATTAAGCAAGCAAAGTGAAAAGAGATGGCCAAAAATGGATTCAGTGAGGCACCTAGCAAAAGCAAGTACAGGGAAATAAGAGAAACCAGGTTATTAAAGAAAGCTATAGTGTTTCAGGCAAAAAATGTGGAATAAAGGTGTGAGCTATCATTTTTAAAATTTATATGGCATACATCAGCATTTGGTTAAGACAGTACGTGTCCTTTCTCCTTCATGCTCCTTTAAGTCAGGAGATTTAGGAGTTTTCCCAGGCTGCCTTTTTTGTTCAGTTCCCTGTAAATTCTGAGGTAAGCCATTACAAAGGATTACTATTTTTCAGCAAATTGCATCACCATTGAATAGAATCAGGTCTCTCCTGATCCATAACTGCTCTGTGCTGTCCCTCTGATGATTCAAGGCACACAGTCGTGGATGTGAATCCAGAACTCCTTCAGGGAATGCCTCCATGGGGAAGGTGACGGGCATATTCAGCTTCTTTACACAGGAATCTCACTAGAAAAGCAGAAAAAAACTTTCAGGTTGAAAGAAGTTACTCAGTCCCTTCTCTCTGCAGAACAAGTATTAGAACAGAATGAGATGAGATTAGGTCATATTTGTGGGTAGAAGCAAGCCTAAAACTTGACAGCTGGAAAATACAGCTTAGGAAAGTTAAGGAGAAGCAGGGAGTCAGAGAATATACCTGTTGCACTTCCTGTTTTGACAGGCTGGTAGAGGAGAAAGGGTCTGTGTGTGTGGCAAGCTGATACCTACTTTAAGTAAATAAAATTGGGAAAAATGCCATCATAAGTGAAGGAAAAAATAAATAGAGCTCTTTTTAAGCTTAAGTATTTTGGCAGCATATATAGAAAGAAAATGTAGTCCATGGCTCATGAGCAAGAACAGAGATGATTTTAAAAGTCAACTGTTACAGTAATGCTTTTTTAAAATATAGTATTCCAGTGTTGATCTCCTTCTCAGAGATTTAATGAACCTTAATGAGTGTAAAGTATCTAATTCAGGAGCATGTTCCTTGGGTGTGTTAAAAAGGAGTTCCAGTTGGTTGAAGTTGTAGAGAAACACCAACATGCCTCTTCCACCTCCAACAGATGTATAAAATGGGGGCAGGGATGGTGTGATAACATTTCCATTATGTGACTTGTGGGCACACATTACAGCAAATCTGTACAGTAAAATAAAAGATTAGTGTGAAAGACCTGTGAAAATGTGGGAAAAGAAAACCAGAGTCACACTGGAAGGTTTAAAGAAACACAGCTTTGATGACTGAAAAAAGCACAAAAAATATTGTTAATTACTTATATTTGAGTATTTTTAAGTATCCATTAAAATAAAAAGAAGAAAAAGAGCCTTTGAAAATAAATGTATTTGTCTTTCTGTGTTCAGGTCTATCTTACAGCAGCTGTTTTTGAGCTTGACTTTTCCACGGTTCCTTGAAGCAGGTAAGTCAAAAGGATATTAAAGAGTCATCTTTGAGTGAAGTAGAAGGTAAGAATCTAGGCCAGGGGACATATTTGGGTCTCCCCATTATGTCTGTGACTTAAAAATGTCATTTGTTTATTTGTTTATTCATTTATTTATTTATTTTATATCAGCTGATATGGAAGATGATGATTTCGGTGCTGCCCTGCCTAAAACAAGCTGTATCACTGAGCAAACTCAATATTTCTTTGAAAACAATGATAAATCCTTTGGTGGGATTGTAGACTGTATAAACTGCTCCAGGTAAAATTTCTTCAATATAAGTAATAACTTCGGGATTTTATTTATTTTGCAAAATATAAGGACACTATTATAAGAAGCAAAAATATATTTTGGCTAAAATTCACCAAACTTACATAAGCAGGACAAAGAATAGAGGCAGGTAAATTGCATTCTCTTTTTATTTGTTTAGAATTAATTTTAATTTTAAAGAATTATAGAAATGCTTTAGTCAGTTTTTTGTGTTATAGTCTGTGCTCCATGAAAATTGTATTTTTATCTTTGTCCCAATTTGTTTTCTTTTAATTTATTATGTCAACTTAAAAAGCATTCTGCAGTATCCCAAGGGATATGATCTTCTCTAATCTGGTTATGTATCAGAATTTTGACTGTCAAGAAGATTATGCAATTTGTCTTCTAATTTATCTTCTAGTTGATAGTGCTCATTATTAAGTCCTATAAAGCAAAAGAAGGTATTATATTTTTTATTAAAAAAATTGCTCTCCAAACACCATAAGGAGGCCTCTTGGAGATGATATTTAATAATATGTGAAAAAATTGTATACTTCAGAAAGATAGCATCTTGGATCTAGATTTCTGTTTCATACAAGAACCTGCTGGGGTTTTTCATACATTTTGAGCTTCTGAAAACATCTTAGAAATTAGAATTAATAGCCAGATTTCAAACAAAAAAAGATAATATTGCAAGCCAGGAAAGAAAGAAAGAGAGCTTTGGAGAATGCTGAAGACAGCCAAAACACGCAGACATTTTGTAAACTTCTGTACTTCCTCCTCCATGATCCTAGCATGTATGGGGTTTATTAATAAACTGAAAACGACCCTACTACCTTAAATACCTTTTGCAGAATTATGTGGGCATAAAAATACAACAAATACGCGACATGCATACTCCATGCTTTTCCCTCACCCTTCTTACAGACAGGTTTATGTTTTGGGGTTTTGTTTGTTTGTTTTTGTGGTTGGGGGTTTTTTTCTGTTAATTGATGCTGAACTGATGTTATTTCTCAGTACAGCTACTGTGGTAGCAGTACAGAGCTAACTATTAACTCAGTTAGAGTAATTTTATGCTCTTTTCCATTTTTTCCACTAAGTCTAGTTGAAAAAGGATACGATGGAAATGTCAAAAAGATTACAAAATTTATTATAAATCTTTCTTACTGTTTGTTAATAAAAAAGATAAACAGTAGCAAGCAGACGAAATCGGTGAAACTGGATTATTTTATTCCAATACTGTGAGTCCTTCTCAAATACAATTTTCCTTACTTCATTTAAACATAGTTTTTTGTTGACTTTTTTTTCCAGACTTTATCATGCAGAGAAGATTTCAAACACCAATCTAGTGTTCATTATTAGTGACAGCCAACTGCTGTGCCGTTCTTGTGACCCAAAGCCACTGATGCAAGCAGAGAAGCCGGGTATCCTTTAAAAATCATGTTATTTAGTTGTGTGGATTGATTTTTGGCTATGGGATACTGCAATCTATTTGGGGAGAAATGGCCCACTTATCTACATTATTACTGTGGTTGCCATTGGAATACTTGAAGTAGCAGGTATTTGTGGGTGTTATCACAAATCATGTGAAGCAGCAGTCATTGAGGTAGAGAGCAAAGCTGTTATTTGTGAGAATTTAGACAGAAATTGGCTCACAGGAATTTAATGAAGTTTTAAAAAAGCAGATACCAAATCTTGGGCCCAGGACAGAATAATTGCTCAGCTGGGCAGGCTAGGGACAGAGTGACAGAAATATTTGCAGGAAAAAGCTGGAGGTTCATGGTGGGCATGAAGTTGACCCTGAGTTGGCACTGCACCTTGCAGACATGTGGGCTGGTCACATCCCAGGCTATGACAGCAACAGTGTAGTCGGTAGACTGTGAGAACTGATCCATCCCAACTCTTCAGCACTGGTGAGACCACGTCTGGAGTTCTGTGTGCTTCTCAGGACCATACTGGCATACAGGAGGGAGTCTAGTGTAGGGCCACCAAAGAGGTTGGCATCTGAGATGACAAGCAAGGAAAGCCTGAGTGTGCTGGGTTTGTTCAGCCTTTAGAAAAGACAAAGGTATGTCAGTCTAGAGAAATAACAAATAAAAAGGCCAGGATAGGAGTGTTGGGTCATGAAAAGTTGAGATGCTGCATGCTGGTTAGTTGATGAAGGCACTTTAGTGTGTGCCAGTGTCAAAGACGAGCTTGCTTCTTGTGGTAACTGCATCAACAATCAAAGGCTAGAGTTCATCCAGCTGCACAGAATTTCTTCAGAGCTGGCTGGAGACATAGGTGGCTTACATGCTAGGCAGAGTTCTTGCAACACAAGCATTGAAGTTAAAAGCATATGTGAAAGTCAGTTTTAATTTACAACCACTTTCATGCCAGTCTCTCTGTTTTAGCCTGTTCACTGCAGTAGATACCTGTAGGTGATGGTGATGGAAATATATAAAACCAATATACATATTCTAGGTCAGGAGAAAGTCACCTCTGCCATTCTCTTCTACGTAGGCTTGAGGACAGAGTGCCAGAAGTGGTAAATCAAACCATAATTTGGATTACTGTGACAGAACAAGGAAAACAATTAGTAATACCTCCGTCCACATCAGGAAGTTAGTTGAGACAGCCTCTCCCACTCCTGAAAGAAAAGCAGATGGTGATACAGATGACTGTGTTTCTTTGGCACAAGCAATGCATTCATTGCCACATTAATAAAACTGGAATTCCATCTACGCTTGGGCTGAAAAGGAAGTTACATTGGGGTGTCATCACAGAACTATGTAAACTTAGCCTAATATTCTAATTGGCTTCAGTCCATTACAGTTTGATAAACTGTTTCCACTGTCTGAATTTATGGACAGCACTCACTATAGAAAATGAAGCATGATGGATGGGAAAGGGCACATGATTTGCATTTCCCTGTGGAGCCCAAAACTACTAGAAAGAAGTAAATTACCTAAAGTGGCATTCAGAACAGCTGGGGGCAGAGGTGGGGGGGGTTCCTTTATATTGACTAAAGGAACTATTTTATTTTTGTTCAGCTATGCAGTACTAAGCTATTCAACTCTTTTCTGTAACTAAGGTACATAGTGAAATACAGATGTAGCATAACATCTCCCAAGCAGACAAAATGACCTTTGGGTGCTATTGAGATGATTATTATTATACTTTGCTTCCTTTTGGCTGGTACAGCTTTGCTTATGCAGCCTCTTGGAACATTTTTGTGTCTCAACTTCCCTTTCAGTTGAGCCACAGCTGAGAAAAGGGGAGATGAGTCTGTTAACTTTTGAATGAAGGCAGATGCAGATATGCAGAAATAAATTCCCCATCATCTTGCCTTCTCTTTTCTTTGGCCTCTCCACTTGTTGCACTGAAGCTGCTGTAGTGCTCCATGGTAGTGCATGAACAGGATGGCTTCAAGTGTAAATTAGAGCTACTAAGATAGGTTCTGACATTCTATTCTTTTAATAGATTTAATATGTGTACTACCTGGAGTGGAATAAAACAAAGCTTAGCATACTGAATGTAATATATGCAGGTTTCACCAGAAGGCTGTTTTGCAGTTTTCCATATCCATGCCTTTCAAGTCTGCTGCAATGACTTGTGCCCCTCATTAGCCAGAGGCACATGTGAAGAACAATTTAACACCAGCAATTAAAGATTTCAGAGATGTGAGCTAAAGCATATATTCAGTTAGATAATTAATAACATGTCACCTTTCTCTCCTGCTGTTCTGCTGATAGTATGGACAGTGTTTTTTCTCTGTCTGCCTTCATCACTGAAATGCTGATGGGATCTCAGTAGTTCCCCTGTCATTTGCTACAAAGCCTACAGTGGCACAATATTTTCTGTGGTATTTGGGGTAATGTAAGTGTACCCATACTAGAATCAGTAGTTTTGACAGATTTTCACTGCTATGTTCAACCTGTATATGACATTACTTTTCAAAAACAGTTTAATTGCTTTTACTGTGTATCTTGATTATAGCAGAGTAACTCAGTGGTAACATAAATTCATCAGCAACATTGAAAGTTTACTGCGTTATGAAATATTTTCTGGGGTATTTATGGAATGATAAAAAAAACAATACACAAAATGTTAAAAGAACTCAGCTTTTATTTTATTTCTGTTTATGGTTCTAAAAGTATTCGAAAAAGTTGTGCAGGATAATAATTTTCCTGATTATAGCAGTATAAAAAAAGGTATTTCATTTTGATTTTTCTAAATGTTTGGGTTGGGTTTCTTGAATATTGATGTTTATTTCAGCACTATCTGAATTAATGTAAATCTTCTGCCATAAAAATAAAAACAGAATGTTGATCCTGCTTTTGTATAATGCATGAAAAACAGTGACGCTCCTTAACCAGAGAAACAGATGAAGGGCCAAATCCATGTGAAATGGTCAAACAACCTAGATACAGAAAGGGTCCTGAAATCTGTTTTGATGAAGCCAAACAGGTAAAATTGAAGTTGTAAGACATTAAGACTCCCTTTAAAAACAATTGTAGAGCAGCTTTAGACAATCAGTGAAAACTGTTTAAATGTACCTTGGTGCCTGGTAACCTTTTTATCACCAAACATACTGTTCACTCTAGACCATAGCCACTTTATTTCAATGAACATAAACTTAACAGCTGCTTTCTTATCTTCTGTCCTATAACCATTGCACTTTCACACATGATTCCCACTAAAATATCATCAGTGAGCATAAAACTGTTGGTCTGTGTATGGTGCTGTGAAATTCAGTTCTTCAATGGCTTGCACAAGTATACAATAATCTTGGCTTAGAAGTAGTATTTTTATAATAATGTTTCCAAATTTTATTTAAAGTATTGTTAAAATATTAAAATTTTCTATATGTTTCACGATGTTGTTTTTAATTCTGCAAATTGTACTGCCTTTAGGTCACGTTCTTAGCAGGTTTAAAAGTGCATTGCTTTACTGAAATCACCAAAACTATACTGGTTTGATACTTCTGTATTGAACGCATTAGTTTTGAAATAGAAAAATTATAATTGTGCCACATGTCTAAACTATCTTTAATATTATTTCTGTGTTACCTTTCAAAGATACAAAAGAGATTTTGCTGAATTCAAGTTGTTCAGAATAAATTTCAAGACAAATAGTACTGAACAAGGAAGTGCCTGGCATTAGATAAAATAAGTAATTGAAAAAAATGCATTTTCAATGCCTCATGCAATTCCCCAACTTCTGCAGTGGATTGTCCCAAACCAGTGTACTTAGTTGTCTATAACTGCTGTATACCAAAATTTGTTCTAGTACGTTCTCTGATTTTCTTGTAATGAGGCACAATTATTGAGATGTCAGTAGTATTTAAAAAGTTTAGAGAATTGATATTCAATGCATTTGTCTAGTAACTGAATTTTATTTTAAAAAGGAAGTCTTCTTTCTGGCCAACAAATATTAAATAAAGTTGAAAATCCATCCAAAAGCTACCCAGCCATTGTAAATAATCCAAGTGATCCTGATGTGATTGTGTGTGAAAGTACAACTCTTGCTCACTAGCTTGATGTGCTGATCAGTGTGTAAGTCATGTGCTTTGTAACAGTCGATTGTTTTGATTAAGTTTATTTGCAAAATTTTCTGTGAATCTCTTGCTCTTGGGTGGATGCTTTCACATTAACTCTGCTAACTGCCAGCAATCTGCATGATATCTCATCTTGTATGTCTTTTTTTCTGTGTTTTCTTTCCTTTCCTCTACTTGCTACTTTGCCCGTTATTAATAGGATCAGCCTATATGCACAACGAGTCGTGCCTCTGCCATGATGTCCGCTCCTATCTTCATTTTTCTGCAAGTTTTCATGTGGTGTGGATGGTCAGTTACTTTCTCTAATTTTTTGTTTTGTTCGTGGCTTAAAAAATTAGCAGACTTTTTTACTTACTGAACATACAAAAGAAAACAGAATGAAGCAAGTCCCAAAAGCAACAATCTGGAGTAAATTACTGCTGCAATATTAAGGGAAATTAAATATGAAAAAAAACCTGTCTGGAGCCTTATAAATCACCATTACTAAACATGAGGGCCTCTGCCTTAGAACATGCAAAACAAGGGAACCTGTTGGATTGATATGGCTGGCTCTTTGAGATTGCACATGTACGAGCTGAGTCCGCATCCTTCCCTTCTAAGCATTTTTCCCTTGTCCTTGTTAAAATTAACAGAAGAAGAAAGTTTTTTTCACAGATAAAAATAGAGATACAAAGTGAATAGAAGAGACAGCATACCTGTGAAAATAAAGCTTTAATTAGGGGTCGAAAGGATGAGTGTTATGTGTGAGTGTTGCTTTTGAGAAGAGTAAGAAGTTTTCACTGCATTCAAATAAGCACAACAGTTAATGATGGAAAATAATGGTGTGCATCACTTTGGTTAAACTAGGAAGTCAGTAAAATAATACTTCTTTACTTAATTTTTGGTGACCTAAACACATAAATTGCCTGATTACAGCAGAAGGTGAGGTTTTGCTTCTAATTAACCATGTAAGTTCCTGTATATTGACCAAGGGCAGACTCTGGGGTTTCTGAACTAAAGCCTTGGCAATTAGGCAGTGTTTCATTTGATGGTGTGGGACTGCATCCTGAGTCACTGTGCAAGTGACCTGTCGGCAAGAGAACTGCTGAGCTAGAGAGCAAAAAACGTCTGAAGGGGGTTGTGATCAACATTGTTCTGAAAACCACTAGAGGGAGATACTCACATATCTATCAAGTAAAGCAAACTGAGGCAGAACCGAAAGCTTACGGGCATTTTTCAGAGTTAGTGTAATGAAATATTGAAAATTAATGAAATATTGAAATTAACTGAAATTTAGAACAGTCATTTTCACAGTAATTTACATTTTTCTCTATACTTAAGGAAAGTTTCAACTAATATATCTTGAACATAAATGAAAAAAACTTTAAATTCTCTTTAACAGTTTAGTTTTTGAGTAATTTTGAAGTTTCTTATTCTGTATTTAAATGATGTAGTTTCTTGCAAACCTAGGAATTTGCACAGCCATGGCAAAAGGTTGTAGGGAACGGTGAAAGGCCCTTCTTTAAGCCAGCAGTATTTCACATTAAAATCTAGATTAGCATCTCATGTTCTTGCTCATGCAATTTGCTCTGCACATAGCTTCCTTTAATTAAAAAACTACTGTCCAATGTACATAAAGCAGCAGAGACTCACCTTGAACTCTATTCTTTATGCCCAAAATGTGCTTTCTACTTAAGGCGGGAAGCACCCAGAATATAATTTTAGCTGATAAGCTTTTGGCAGCAGAAAGTTATAAAGGTAATTTTGTTCATCCATCTTGTTTTTAATAACTTTGTGATTTTGGAAACGGGTTCTCTCTGGACATTAATCTGCGTAGTTATATTAAAATCACTGAAGCCAACACAGATACAATCCAGCTGATCAGGTTCACTAACCTGACAGGTTTTTTTTACTTTTCATCAAGGATAACAAAATAGTCATTATCACTGCCTCAAATGACTTGCTCTTTGTACATGCATATTGGATTTGTTTGCCATGCCTGAGAATAAAGAAAATAAATGTACAAGTTTACAGCCCCCACTGAGAATGTTTTACTTCCATCAGCTTCCAGGTATGTCAGTGGCAGCTTTGAGGGTGATTAGCGGTCCTGGCAAGTGGATACATCCCAATGGAATTGCTGTGTCCCCAGTCTGTGCATGGGGAGCTGTACACTTTTGACAGCTTTGTCTGGTAGTCCAGACAAAGGAGGATAACCCAAAATTTGTGAATGGCCATTCATTGAAACTGGAAATTACTCGAGTAGAAGAAAGGTGTTCACAATGTAGTATGAAACATTTAAAATACATGTTATAAAAGGTATAACTGAGGTAATCCATGGGTATCAAGGGCCACATCAGAAGATCTTTGGGCAGATGTTGTTTTACCTTTTTGTAAGTCAGAGTAGCACAGTGGGTGTGGATGAATTATTATCATTTAAAAACAAAGTTTTGGTACATTAAATAGTTGTAGTGCACTTCTAGAGGAGTAACAAGTATGTTTATAGCCTTAGTGTATATATGTATATATGTATTTCTAGTTCCAAGTGTATTTTTAAAACATTGGACTGGCAGTGTTTTCAAGGAAATGCTGATGTATAGCAATGAGAATGTTGTTTTGATACTTAAAAATGAAGGTATTGTTTTATAAAAGTATTTATTTCCATTCTGAAAGTGCTAAATAATTTTCATAGCATGTGATGCTGTAGAACAGCCTTACCTAGAGTTGTCCTAGTAAGGCATAACATGAAGAAGATGACATTTGGATTTGACACTTCTCTACCTCAAGTATGCAAGAAAATTTGATGTAATGAATGCAAGAAATTTTCCATACACTTCTGGTCAAATGAAAGCAGCCTGCAACAATTCTTTCCAATTTCTTTTACAAGTGTCTCTCTCTTCAAAGAGAATTTATACACAGACATAATTTTGAAGACAGCAAAGAGAGGACATCCCCAGCTGATTTGTTATTCAGGATTTGTGTGATTAATGTCATGGGCTGGAAAATTTCAGTGAAACTGCTTAAAAATAGTTCAGTGTCTAATTGCACTAGAAGAGGTAAAGATAAGATAATGTAAAGAGAAGATAAAACAATGTTGTATATCTTTGTTATAAGATACTTTAGAAGAACTCTCAAAAATAACATTAACATGAAACAGTGAAAAGTTTTCTTAAAGCCCAAGAAATAGGGAAGTGTTTTTAAAAAAGGCATTTTTAAGACCATTCAAAACTGACATTCTTCTCAATCTGATTGTAAATTGGGGATGGAATCCCACTTATTTCAATGGGGTTGTTGATTGTTTAAATTTATGTAAATAAACACAATCAGATTTTCTCCTCTATTTTTTATTTTATATTTTCACATTTCCTGTAGTTTTGACAACAGTTAGAGCACACAACAAAATTACAGTGTGAAATTCTGTGTCGAAAAAAATTAATTTAGATAGGATTTACTGTACCTTCTTTGCCACTACTATTTTTGTTTTAGCTTCGAACACAGAAGAATTAACTGATTCCAGAGACAATATTTAGAAGTTGTTCTTGGCAGGACTGCTGGTTTACCACTGCAAATTGGTCCAGAAACCTCAGAAATTTGATGTGGCTTTGATCAATATGAGGTTAAAATCTCACTAAGCTTGAAATGTGTGTATAAACCTTGTATACATTTGTGTAGTGGAGTTTGATGCTGTCGTTCATAATAAAATTATGCTTATCCTGCATGAGGCTTCCAAGATATTCTCTACTGCTGTGAATTGTGAATCCTTTAAAAACTTCTCTGTGTAGTCTTAGGGAGAGGGAAAAAGATACTAAAATGCTTTGTTTCAACCCAATAGGAATATTACATGGTATGACTGATGAATGTAAGAGCGGTTGAGAAATTGTGGTGTGGTTAAAAAGATCTCATAGAGCAAATAGAAATGGACAACAGAATGGAGGGTGTTTTCAAAAAGTTGTGGCGGTAGGATTAATTTATCAACATAATTTGCAATATTTGGTCTAATGCAAGATGACGTAAGCTGAGTCTGTATAACTCTATATGTGGAGGCCTACTTGCTTTCTATTTGTACTGGATGCCATTTTTACTATAAAGGTATTTTCTCTTCATGTTATGCACAATTTTGTTTAAGACCTTCTGTTTACTACTTATATATACTCCAGTCTGCTGGAAATTTTAAATCTCCTGCTTTGCTTTCAACTCTTTCTTCAAAGATGACTCTTCTAAGTAATTTCAGTGATAAGAATAATAAATACAGAGTGGTAACACTGTGTACCATTCACTGAATTCATGTGAGAGGAAACCTTTACTCATAATTCTGTTTTTAATGGTAGTCACTGTGAGGAAGAAGCAACAGGGTTATTTTTAAGTGCTTTAAATAGAAATAAAGCTGCATGACAAGACACAATGCAGATGCAAATAGTGAGCAAGCCAAACTAAATAAACCACAATGTTCAGTGCATCTTGAAATCTTAGCATCCTAGTCCAAAACTGGTGTAGCAGAGTTCACTTAGACTTCTTGTTGACCAGAAACCTTAAGAATTTTGAACTCGTAGAGTGTAATCAACCAAAAAGAAACAAAACTAAAAACCCAACCAAACCAATAACAATCAAAAAACAAACAAAACGAAAAAAAGGCCGAAGTCAAAACTATATTAATTAAGTATAAAGCTAACACATGACAGAGATATGTCTGGAAAAAGCTACTGTTAATACAGAATGGCAGCCAACATAAAGTATTTGCTTTAGGACAAAATGAATTTTTACTTCTTTGTAAGGAAACTTAATGCTGATTTTTGGGGTTTTTTGGGCTTGGGATTGTTGGGGTTTGTTGCGTCCAAGTTTCTAATGGAGACTGTTGGTGGATGCTATAATTCCTGATAATGTACTGAGTCTACTTTGCCTGCTTTATCTGATTTTCCGTATTTTTCCCAAACTGTTTTGGAAACCTACCAGCTTTAAAGAATGTATTGTATGCAGAATAAATAGCATGAAAATTCTCACCCATTAAAGCTGGTATAAAGAACTCATTCAAGGCCCTGTAATTTCCAAATGCTGTCTTTACACCTCTGTTACAAAGAAGTTGCCCTAACATCATATTTAACATTGTGCTTTTAGTCTAAAATTCCTATTATCATTTCAGTGTATTCTGCAAGAAGGTTACAAAAAACACTTTATCCCTCTCCCCATCCCTCATTTCCTGTTTATATCTGATCTACCATTTTTATGTACTTTCTTCGTCTTGCCCATTTGAGTAAACTTGATGTCTTGCACTACTATTCTTACAAAGTTGGGAAGTTTTTCTTAAGGAAAGCAAAATTTGTTTAAGGAAATTTGCTAATAAATTAAAGGTTGTTTAATGACTCTTTCTTATTTATCCTGATTGTACATTTTATGGACACACACACAGAGCCACACACCCCAGCCTTTTCCAGTGTATATTAATTGCATATGCTTCAGTGGTGTGTAAGTCTGAACCAGGAGCTTTTCCCTGCCTGTTGGCTTTCCTCTGCTTTCTGTTATATATATATATTTTTTTTTCTGTCATTTCTGTGCCAACAGCCAGTCTCTGTTACTGTTCAGATTCAGTTGTCTGTCCTTCCCTGTACATATTGCTCCTGCTCAAGAACTTTCCCCAGTTGCTATTATACCTAAATTCCTTTCCACCTACACTGTTTTCTTGCCTTTGGAGGTTTGCAATCTTTTGGAAAATGGAAAGTGTCTTTTCATACCATTGGTACAGAATACTGTGAAAACAAGAGAAAGACCAAATATTTTCAGCCTTCAGAGCTATCCATGAATTTCAGAGTTCTCAGACAAAGTGGAGAGGGGAAAATTTTCCTGGTGTTTTAGGTACTAATCAGAGTTTATATCAGTCTTGAGAAACAAGGTCTAAGTTGTTACAGGCTCCAGAACAGCCTGTAACAACTTAGACCTTGTATTTCAGCCGGACTAATGAACAGGTCCATCATGTGAAAGGTATTAAACATTATAAGCAAAGTAGAACCAAAGATCAATTAATGGTGGAGAGGAATGAGGAAAAGTGGTGTGATTGCTGTGTGACATAAGGAATAATTACTGATGCGTGACAGCAGTGCAGCCCAGAGATAGCTTGAAATTGCATCAAGTAGTGCAATAGAAAATTTCCTTCTCGTACTTGAGTAGAGCACCAGAGGCAGAGAAAGGATTTTCATTTTCTTTGATCACATCCTCACCTGCAGACCATATTCATTTTATTGTGTGATCATTTGATGAAATGGACACAATAATATTTTGGTATTTGTTTTCTAAATGAGAAAAGTTATCTGTTCTTCTATATTTTCCCACAATAAATCCATACTCAGAATATTAAAATGAATGCAGTTTTAAGGAATATAGATGGTGTTTGCTGGGGCCCCCAGGTATATTCCATGGCATTTCTTGGTTTATGGTGTAAGTATCCCATCTAGTTCATAAGTTTGTGCTGTAAACCTTGAAAGTATTTAATCCTCCCAAGTTTATAGTTAAAGTAATAATGCCACTCTTTGTATCAAAACCCAGAGGAACTTCCAGGAATTATTTTATTGTTATTTTAACAAAATATCATATATAAGACCAAAAAGGATGCCTCAGTGATAGTTCAATATGTTGAAAACTAAGCTGTAGGTTACTTCTCAAGCAGCTTCCCTGTAATTAATATTAAATGATTTCTTCTCTTCTTATCGACAGGAAGATTCGGCTGACTGCGGTGGGGCCTCTGGTCTGAGTCCATCACTGTGGTCTATGGTAGCAATTCAGTTGGTCCTGCTTTGGCTGTTATCTGGCAGCAGACACTGCCAGTTATGACCTCTCTAAACCAAAACCTGCATAACTTAATCAAGACCTGGCCAAAATGATAGCCTCAGTTTCATTTTCGAAAGGGTCAGCTCGTGAGACAGCAGCAGAACAGCAGTGCTCGTGTCTGGTTATCACGCGTTGCGAGACTCATCGAGGCACCACGATGCCTGCATGTTGGAGTGTCAGATCCTTAACTGTGTGTGAATGCTGCATCATCTACGCCATCCCAACAGATTTCTGTACCTGCCCCGCTGGGGAAAGCTAAAACCTTTTGTTTATTCATTTGTTTGTTGTTGTAATCTTGATGACTTCATGTAAAAGGGCTCCCCTAACAATAGCTTATGTATATGATTTTAATTTCTTTTAAGCTTTGGATATCTTGAAGATTTATATTCTTTTACATGAACAGTTGTTTAAAAACCAAAAATAAAAATACAAAGGAAAACGTTCTCCCCAATATAAATTACTAGCACCACAATGGTTGCTTTTAACATTGCTTTTGTCCAAACTTGTTCAGTAAAATGAAAATACTGGCCAGTCTTCACCAGAAGTTCAGCATGATTGGAATGTTTTGTGATGAGTGGTTAATTTTCCAAAATGAATCCTATAGCCAGCTAAGCTTTGGTGGGTTGATATTGTATGTAGAAAGGAGGGAAGGGAGAAAACTAATTTTTCAAAATACAATGGTACTGGAGAGTGTAACGAAAAAAGTGATTTTCATCTTAAACTTGGTGTAATCTTCTGTCAGAAAAAAATTGTTAATTTCAATGTAATATTCACCTCCTTTTCACAATACAGTTACATATAAAGCTAGTAGAAATTCTTCAAAGGCTGAAACAAAAATGCTTGTGAATAAAAAAATGTCTTTGTGATATTTGAATGTTGGTTTCCAGGGGTATTTTGCATGATGATGATGCTAAGTTATTGTTTTTCAGTTTGTTTTCTTTGATGGTAGAGTATAGTTCATTGAAAAGATAACAGAGTGATTCTTGTATTGTGTGAGAAAATAAACATTGCAATGTGTTGCAATCAAATCATATTACATTATATTATGAAACAGAGCTCTGAATATACTGTGCAATGAAAAAGCTGAGAAAATAGGGTAAATATAGCTATTGTAACAAAAGGGTTGAGGTGGATTTTTTACAGAATAGCGATCTCACATGAAAACCTGTGTACAGATATTTTAAGAATATAAAAATCAGATTTAACACATTTATTTTTGGAAGTATATGTTCTCTAAGGTTCATATCGGGTTCCCCCTTTGTTTCCTTCATATAAACCCACCTATAATATTAAAACTTATGCTGTTGCTATTTATTATTGAAAATAGCATATTTAACAGCAAAATGACCTGGTTGCTGCGATTAGAAAAAATATAAACAAATGGGGAGCCTTGAATCTATATGTATGCACATTGATACTTGATTGTGAATAATAACTCTAGAAGTTGTTTTTATACAACCTCATTGGTGATACAGGTTGGTGCAGTAAATTACAATATTACAGTGTAGCATAGTGTTGATGCAAAATATGATTTGCGCTTTTTTTTCTAGTTTTCAGAACTAAACAGTATTGCAAGACAGCTAAACCAATGAATGTGCAACTCTGCTGGTATTGTACAGTTCTGCTAACAACTGCAATATGCAAATATTAATATGGCACAATACACTAGCTCATTAAAAAAAATGCAAATCATCGGTATGTATATGCTGGCAATTGATTGATATAATTTTGATCATGCCAAAAGCTTAAAAAAATGATTGGGCATGCATTAATATCCTATGAAAACTGAAGAAGCTACTCAAAGCTATGGCATGGCTTGAACGATGAAATGTCTACTGTAGTTGTACTCATGGCTGGTTTATTGTTTGTCATGTACCTTGGCTCCAGCTATGTATTTTCTCATGTTTGGAAATACAGTGAGTGAAAAACAGAAATCCTGACCTTTTGTTCAGTGATAAAATCTAGATTTAAAAAGAAAATATACCTAGCAATTTAATGGGGTTAAAAGTACAATTAAGTGTTCTGGATGACTTCAGGTCCTCCTCAGGGAAGGTGAGCTAATGTTGATGATAAGGGTGAAGATAAACTTAGAGCTCTTCCTTTTAGTCATAGTGCTGTAGTTCTGTTCACTCTAGCACAAATTACCACCTGATAAAAAAATTGATTTGAGTGTTTCTAATGCCAAGACTGCATCCAGTGATTTTCCTTAATGTGGTCAATTGACATTTTATGGGAGGAGCCAGTTTTCTAGGATTAGGCCAATAATTACTGCACTCACTGCTTTTACTCTGAGGTTACTTTAAATACTCGTTGGTTTGCGTTGTGTTCTTTTAATTTCATGTTACTATAATAAGTTCTCTATAGTTTTCACTTAACTTCCCAAAAGAAACCCTTCATGGACAAGTTGCACTGTTTAAAACTCATTGCCTTTGCTGGTAGGCCATGTTCAGAGTTACTCAATAAGTACTTGATTAGAGTTTGTTGGAAGAAAGAACAATGGCAGAAATTCATGCTGCCACAGGAAACATCTGTGGCTTTTGCTCTTATCCCTCTTCCCTTGTTCAGATGCAAAAGGAGGGAGAAGCCCATGCCATGCAGACACACAGCCCTCCTGGATGATCCAAAGAAGGAAATGTCCTTTGTTCCTCTCCTTCACCCCTCTATATGACCTGAAGAAACGTGTTTCTATATAAACATTTAGCCTTCCAGCTGACATTATAATGTTCTATATAAACATTTAGCCAACATGATTCCCATCTTATTAATACTTTAGAAAGTAGTGAGTATTTTAAATACTTTGAAATTATATATTAGAATATATTCAAGTGATTTTTCAAGACTTTTTTTTAAATACTCCAATATCTTCAAAATTAAAAACATAGACCGAAAATGCAATCTGAACTTTAGCTATCTCAAAATGTCAGTACCAGTCTGATAGAAATAACATGCATGAATATATACAAATTCTCATGCAGAAGAGTATCCTTATTCTCACAGTGCATCAAAGTCATCTTCTCTTGTCCTTGAAAGGAGAAGCTTGATCCTAAAATTTGAATTAAGATATTTTTAAATATCATATACTGTAAAAAGCTGTGTTTTTTAACACAGATAAAAGGCTCTGTCAGGGTTGCTCAACTCCTTTAAATAGTGCAAAGGGAACGGTTGGGACTGGTTCAGTTCACACAGAAGTCACGCAGTGTATTGTACATCTGACAAGTAACCACCAGTAAAGTTGTTACAGCATGGTACTGTGCACAACATGATCTGAGGACTTAACATGAAAGGTTTCTTTCTGTTTTTTTTTTTTCTTTTAAACAACCAGCATTACTGCCGAAACACTGACCGTGGTCCATATTTGTAACAGGTTTTTAACATGACATAGCAGGTCTGATTGACAAGATTTTTAGGTCCTGTACCTTTAAGACTTTAGTATGATCTTTTTCATGTTTCTAATGCTTGAGGCTTTACTGCTTAACTTGACAAAAACAACAGTGTTGCTGCCATTTGTAAGTTTTCCTACAATATTCCTTTTATTAACTTAAAACCTGGCCTTACTGGTTTCAAATAGGCAGTATCCCTTTTAAGTGACCTTTGCAACCCAAGTGTTACTTGCTGTGGTTGAGAGCTTTTTGCTGTCACTGAAGAGACATTAAGACTTTTGTTTCCCATTAACACATAACAACCATGCTTAGTATGACTTAATTCCAAAACACAACCTCAATACCACTGATCCAAAAATTCAGATGCTAGCAAACTGGTTATTAAGAAATATATTAATGCCTGCAAGGCATTGCAATGCACTTGAGTGTTTTTGGAATGTCAACCTAAGGTGAAATCTTAATAACTCCTTTCTTAGGATAAATTTTACCCTAACTTCATCAGACATCCAAGCCTTTAACAAAGGCCACATTTATTATTATTTTGTTAATACCACAATGTTAATATTGTTAATACTCATTGTACACTATTGTAAAAAGATTAAAACAAAGCATCTGAATGCAATTCAAGACTTTTGAAAAGTTAGCCTCACCCTGTTCACAGCTACTTGCATCTGTCCTGTTTATGGTTTAAAAGAAAAACATCATCTTGAAGAAATATTTCACTGAGGCTAAAGGGATACTGTCTTGTTCAGATGCCATGAAATTGCGATTGTGATCTGACAAAGCTGTCTTCTCTTCTTGTGTTGTATGGAATGTCTGGATCATGCTTTCTGGGATATTTTTATTGAAATGCTCAGTGTGCGTTTCTGCAAAAAAAGACTTGGTTGCTCTTACGAGGCAAGCAGGTCTTTCTCCCTTTTCTTGTGTTCTCTTGACACTTTTGTGGAACTTGACAAGCCTGGAAAAAATAATTTTTTTGTAAAAATTTGTACAATAATGTTATAAAAAGTTTATAATCCTAGAACTGTTGTGTTAATTATTGTGCAAAAACAGTATATTCAGAATAAAAGTTTATCATTTAAAAATCAACAACTATTTTACTGTTTATTCTGTATAATCAAAACAGGTAAATAAGCCTATATTGTTTGCTATATAATATTTCTGTGTTTCATATAATTAATCCTAAGTGTCTGAGGAGAGTGAAGACAGTGACATAATGCAGGTCTTCATGGGGTTCAGAGAAGGATGCACAGCAACCTTCATTTCTGTTTCATTTGTGACTCTGAAAATTATTTTTAAAAAAATCGAAAAGAATAACCAATAAAAACTGAGGGTTAGTAAATGTCTTGAAAAATTAAGAGTTTGAGACAGCTGACGTATCCCTATTCTCCTGAAACAATTGCTTTTGGAAGAGAGAAGAGTTGCCATTTGCCATTTGCTAATTTATAAACACTGATGAAGTCCAAGGGTTCATTCACATGGAGAAGTAGAGTAAAATCAGATGGCTCAGATGGGTCCTGCCCAAGTTGTTGTCTCCACCTCTGACCAAAACTGAGTCATGACCCAGTCAGCTTCTGTACTGCTGCTGTTCTTAGCTGAGGACTATGATAAAAGTGGATGTATAAACAAGCTTGGGGTGCTCAGGAGGTGCTTTTCTGGGTTTCAGACTTCCTGCAGGGGCACTGGCAAGCTCTGTCTGAAATGCAGGACAGAAAGCTGCAAGTAGCAGCTGCTTTAGAAGCCTGAATTTAATCCTTGACTGCGAGTGTGACACAGCCTAGAGAGAATGGCAGTTGTAAAATTCTGATGGATTTACTGGATCCCTGAGGAGTAGATAAGAGACTAAGAAATCAAATGCAGATTCTAGTGCTGCAAAGTAATAGATCACCCATGTGGAAATGCTACAAGGCAGTGCATGACACTGTGCATCAATATCCAGAGATTACCAGCCTCAACTGGATTAAACATTGCTTCCTAACTACATGATTATCCCCACATGCTGAACACACTCCTCCATGTTTTCTGTAGGCTGACTGCCACTGAGATGTAGAAATAAATAAATCCCCAAGATCCCTTTCTTGTACATGTTTAGTTTAATTGCTGTATTACAATGTACTAGTCGTTAAGTAAAGGAGAAGACACACTTGGACAGCACAAGGCTTTCCCCCCACACTTCTGGAACTTATAAGCATCTTTGACCTCATCAGATTGATATGGGAATGGCTGCACTGCAGTGAGATATTCTATATTCATCCCTTGTGCAAATCAACCCAGAATGCACTTGGCCTGTCATATTGTATTATTTTGAGAGATGACTTCACATTGTCCAATGCAGCAGTATTGCTGCTAACCATCTACAGAAATCAAGACATTATATAACACAGATATTACAAAACGCCTTCATTGTCACATCTATTAGTCCAGTGCTCCTTGTAACGCTTGACTGAAAAATATGCCCACCCTAAACGGTACAACATTTTCTCTGTTGCAAAAGACATTGAGAACAATGTCTCTCTTTCCAATAATTTGGAAATATACAAATGCACAAATATACAATTATTTTTTCCAAAATGTATATGGGGGAAGAGGAAAGAAAAACGAGACTTTCAGGAGAATGGTTTAATCTAAATTCTAACTGTATTTCCTCTAATTGTTTTAAATATTTAACAATTTCTCTCTTTTTCAGATTGAGAATATCACATTCTCAGGAGCTGACTTTTCCTTTTGAAACTTTGTTCAGAAACCCAGACACCTTTTAGTGCAGTCTTCCTTTTAATAGCAAATCTGCCTCTCTCTTCCTTTAGGGATTTTTAACCTTGTTTCTCTTCTGGATATTACAAATCTTTCCTTGACTAGATCTCCAAGTGTACATCTCATATTGTGTAGAACAGGTATTTTAACTTGGTAATAAGTGTTTCGTTTGAGGAAATTATAAGCACGTTTGTGATTTATCTCACCTAGCTGTAGTTGTCAATTGCTTTTGAGTTACTGTACAGTGAAAAGAGTTTAGGAGCTGCTTACACATGCTGCAAGGCTTACCCAGGCTTTAGCCATCTGCCTTAATGATTGGAAGGTGAATTCTTTAAAAAGACTTTTCTACTGCTGTTTCAGTTGTATGCCTTTTCAAAGACAGGAGTTAACATATGGGTTTTTTGGGTTATTAGTGCTGCTGGTTTCTGACAACAGTTTTGAGAAGGAAGAAAGAAATATAGGATTTCATTGGTATTCACTCGAGGAGTTAACATATGGGTTTTTTAATGGGTTATTAGTGCTGCTAGTTTCTGACAACAGTTTTGAGAAGGAAGAAAGAAATATAGGATTTCATTGATATTCACTCTTACTTTCCAAAAGTATCTTTCAATTATTTTTTTCAGCCACTGAATTAGTTCTTTCATAAACAAAATAAAACATGTGGAGTTGGAAATGAAATGTCGCTCAGAATTTCCATTTTAGCTTCTGTGGCTTTAACCCAGACTCTTCTTGTGACCCAGACTCTTGTGATCTCAGCCTCTCTTCCGTGGCTTGATTATTAAAAAAATAATTTTTTTGAGCAATGTAATACATACACTATGGAAATGTTAATTAACATGCCTGGAACAATGACTAACAGCACAATGTTTTGGTATGTGTGGTTAGCATGTATTATTCCTGTTAGTTATTTTGAGAGTCCAAGTACTGCACATTATGATATGTCTTAGTCAGATTGCCATATAAGCACTGGGATCTTCAGGAATTAATTAATCTGCAGGAATTAATTAGCTCTAAGAGAAAATTGCAGACACTGAGGGTCCCTTCTGCCTAAAAAGATACTGTAATACCTAATTTCAAGTAGGTTGGAAATTTGGAGCATTCTCCTGTTCTGTTTGTCTGTAGTCTGCACAAAAGAGAAAAGACTCCATGTAATGGTAGGATTTGCTTTTGACATCCTTTGGGAATACCAGTCTGGGAAATAACAGGCAGGGAAACTTTGAGAACCCAGGGTTAAATTTTATGCAATGGGATTCACTAGATGAGCACTAGATGTCTGTGTTCCTGGGCTGGACAATGGAGATCCACGATACAGAATTTCTTCTTGTGGAGCAGGCAGAACTACCCCAATGGCCAGGTACTGGGAGTCTTATTGCAATTTGCATACACACCTTTCTGTCGAAATTGAGGCATGAGGGTGCTAGATCCAGAGAAAAACCAAACAGTGGAGATATATTCATTCAAACCTTGACTTTTCTGTTTTGCTGGATCAACCCAGTTCAATGTCTGGGCTCAGTAAATTCCCCCTAAGACAAGGCAGATGTGAAATCTAGGCTCATAGCTACCAGGAATGATGCAGACCTACATCTGCTTTAAAGGCCATTGCTATGCAGACATAGTGGAAGCGATGCCAAACTCCAGGCTCTGAGAGGAGCTTGTTTAGTGCCTGTGGTTGGAGCACAGTCTGAGCTAACACTTCCAAAGAAAAGGGGAGATAGTAGAGGGGGTGAAGGGGATGTTACTCATCTTTTGAATCATGTGCTTCCACGTATAATACTTGTCTCAAAAGTGTAAAGTTGGTTCTAGTCCTTTTTAGTCTGAGAATATCTATTCTTAGAGAGGAAAGAGAATCTGAGCACCTACATTTAAAGGCAGCAGTGACCTCTAGCCTATAGGTTGGACAGCTACCTTGAATGGGCTTGATGTCAGGCTGTTGAAGATATGTCTGTAATAAGAAGATGACTAATCACCTTTAAGGTTTTTTTTCTTGTCTGGTGTTTTAATGGAGTTTTATTACAGTTTATAGAAATTGTTATTATTTCATTTTGAAATAAGAAGAAATTTAGAGATTGGTAGAACTTGAAGATCTAGAGAGTTCTGGGAAGTTAAATATCTGTAACTACGTGCAGGATATCACATTTTTGTGTGTTTGGGGCCTCAAAGCTTGACTAAGTCACATTTTGGTTTATAAATGCTGTGATTTGGAATTCTGAAACTAGGGAGTATTTCTAGGACATTTCTGAGAAGGGTATTTATGTCATTAATCACTTGAACTTTCTGATTTTTTTTTAAAATATTTATGTCCAGTGCTATTCTAGCAAGTCATACAGTATCAAGTTTTAAAATCAACCATTAATTTTCAGTTAGTGGAAGGTCTCACCATCGACAAGGAAAGCAGATGTGCTGAAATCTAAGCATTAACAATTAGAAGTAGGAAGCATGATTGACCCCAGATTTGGTTTTAGGAGACTATTTTAGGGCTTGGAAAATATGTTGCGCGTTGATTCATCCAAAAATTTTTCTAACCACTTGTGATGGTATCCAACTTTACATAACAGTTAGCTGAGCCAGTAGTATGGAAGGACAGTGGTGACAGATTGTATTTGAGTTGAACATTGCTTTAGTCCTTGGGTCCTGGTACAATTCATAAAGTTTCTTTTTCTCAAACGTGACTTGCTGTGTGACCAGAACTGTGAGGGTAATATGGCCAAGAGGAAAGTAAATTGTAACTTAACCATCCTGCATAGAAGGCACATCTGGCCTCAGTGCCTCCTGCTCTCCCCAATGTGCACCCACCAGGTTGAGGAGATTGCTGAGCAATGCTAGCACCACCTAATAATTCTCTGGGGGTGTTCTGTGTGTTCAGTGTTTCTGCCTACGTGGAGCAAGCTTGCGTCTCTCTTTCTCTGTCTCCATTTATTAGCAGCAACAAATTCAACACACTACATAATATTTGAGCTGTCAGCTGCCTAAAATTTCAGTGGGAAAAATTATAAGTCAGACACAATAGCTTTCAAATGCTTCCACACCTCTTGGGGTATATAGGTGTTAAACTAAGATTTTGAGGTATTAAGATTTTGGGGGGAAGTATGAACACAGACATAAATATTTTCATGCCTTTTAGATGCTACCCATGGGCTTCTCACAACCTGCCAGTGTGCTTTGCTTTCCAAGGTCAAAGGTGCTGCTGTGCTTTATTCTGGCAGATGACATGAGTAAAACTGTGCTTTAAAGCAGCTTGCATGTGAGGCCTCCTTTGCAAAGCATGAAGGAGAACCTATAGTGTGATATTTGATCTTTTAGAATCTCTAGTTGAGTGAAATGCCTTAAATAGAAAATAG